CTAGGATAAGGCCAGGCTCTAACATTTCATACGATTACGATCCCCACCCCCTCCCCACCCTCCCTTCACACACACACACACACACTCACACACACACACACACACACCCCCCCCCTACACACACACACACACAGACACACGCACATGCACACACACACGCATATGCACGCACATGCACACACACACGCATATGCACGCACATGCACACACACACACACACACACACACGCACACGCACACACAAAGCAGAGGACTAGAGGCAAAAGCAGCGAAGGTTCATCCAAGCAAACTATGTCTCTGGCACAGCATCCACTGAAGGGTGATTGAAAAGGTACAGCTGCAGAACCAAGTGCTTGGACCAAATGCTTGCTTGAACCAAGTGCTTTCTTGAACCAAGTGCTTTGTTGCACCAAGTGCTTTGTTGGACCATGTGCTTGCTTGGACCAAGTGCTTGCTTGGACCAAGTGCTTGCTTGGACCAAGTGCTTTCTTGGACCAAGTGCTTGCTTGGACCAAGTTCTTTCTTGGACCAAGTGCTTGCTTGGACCAAGTGCTTTCTTGGACCAAGTGCTTTCTTGGACCAAGTGCTTGCTTGGACCAAGTGCTTGCTTGGACCAAGTGCTTTCTTGGACCAAGTGCCTGCTTGGACCAAGTGCTTGCTTGGACCAAGTGCTTGCTTGGACCAAGTGCTTGCTTGGACCAAGTGCTTTCTTGGACCAAGTGCTTTGTTGGACCAAGTGCTTGCTTGGACCAAGTGCTTGCTTGGACCAAGTGCTTTCTTGGACCAAGTGCTTGCTTGGACCAAGTGCTTGCTTGAACCAAGTGCTTTCTTGAACCAAGTGCTTTCTTGGACCAAGTGCTTTGTTGGACCAAGTGCTTTGTTGGACCAAGTGCTTGCTTGGACCAAGTGCTTGCTTGGACCAAGTGCTTGCTTGGACCAAGTGCTTGCTTGGACCAAGTGCTTGCTTGGACCAAGTTTTTTCTTGGACCAAGTGCTTGCTTGGACCAAGTGCTTGCTTGGACCTCGGCTTGCTTGGACCAAGTGCTTTCTTGGACCAAGTGCTTTCTTGGACCAAGTGCTTGCTTGGACCAAGTGCTTGCTTGGACCAAGTGCTTTCTTGGACCAAGTGCTTGCTTGGACCAAGTGCTTTCTTGGACCAAGTGCCTGCTTGGATCAAGTGCTTGCTTGGACCAAGTGCTTGCTTGGACCAAGTGCTTGCTTGGACCAAGTGCTTTCGTGGACCAAGTGCTTGCTTGGACCAAGTGCTTGCTTGGACCAAGTGCCTGCTTGGACCAAGTGCTTGCTTGGACCGAGTGCTCGCTTGGAGCAAGTGCTTGCTTCGACCAAGTGCTTGCTTTGACCAAGTGCTTTCTTGGACCAAGTGCTTTGTTGGACCAAGTGCTTGCTTGGACCAAGTGCTTGCTTGGACCAAGTGCTTTCTTGGACCAAGTGCCTGCTTGGACCAAGTGCTTGCTTGGACCAAGTGCTTGCTTGGACCAAGTGCTTGCTTGGACCAAGTGCTTGCTTGGACCAAGTGCCTGCTTGGACCAAGTGCTTGCTTGGACCGAGTGCTCGCTTGGAGCAAGTGCTTGCTTGGACCAAGTGCTTTCTTGGACCAAGTGCTTTCTTGGACCAAGTGCTTTGTTGGACCAAGTGCTTGCTTGGACCAAGTGCTTTCTTGGACCAAGTGCTTGCTTGGACCAAGTGCTTGCTTGGACCAAGTGCTTTCGTGGACCAAGTGCTTGCTTGGACCAAGTGCTTGCTTGGACCAAGTGCTTGCTTGAACCAAGTGCTTTCTTGAACCAAGTGCTTTGTTGGACCAAGTGCTTGCTTGGACCAAGTGCTTTCTTGGACCAAGTGCTTGCTTGGACCAAGTGCTTTCTTGGACCAAGTGCTTGCTTGGACCAAGTGCTTGCTTGGACCAAGTGCTTTCTTGGACCAAGTGCTTGCTTGGACCAAGTGCTTGCTTGGACCAAGTGCTTGCTTGGACCAAGTGCTTGCTTGGACCAAGTGCTTGCTTGGACCAAGTGCTTGCTTGGACCAAGTGCCTGCTTGGATCAAGTGCTTGCTTGGACCAAGTGCTTGCATGGACCAAGTGCTTGCTTGGACCAAGTGCTTGCTTGGACCAAGTGCTTTCGTGGACAAATTGCTTGCTTGGACCAAGTGCTTGCTTGGACCAAGTGCCTGCTTGGACCAAGTGCTTGCTTGGACCGAGTGCTCGCTTGTACCAAGTGCTTGCTTGGACCAAGTGCTTTCGTGGACCAAGTGCTTGCTTGGACCAAGTGCTTGCTTGGACCAAGTGCCTGCTTGGACCAAGTGCTTGCTTGGACCGAGTGCTCGCTTGGAGCAAGTGCTTGCTTGGACCCTGTGCTTTCTTTGACCAAGTGCTTTCTTGGACCATGTGCTTTCTTGGACCAAGTGTTTTTTTGGACCAAGTGCTTGCTTGGACCAAGTGCTTTCTTGGACCAAGTGCCTGCTTGGATCAAGTGCTTGCTTGGACCAAGTGCTTGCTTGGACCAAGTGCTTGCTTGGACCAAGTGCTTGCTTGGACCAAGTGCTTGCTTGGACCAAGTGCTTGCTTGGACCAAGTGCTTGCTTGGACCAAGTGCCTGCTTGGATCAAGTGCTTGCTTGGACCAAGTGCTTGCATGGACCAAGTGCTTGCTTGGACCAAGTGCTTGCTTGGACCAAGTGCTTTCGTGGACAAATTGCTTGCTTGGACCAAGTGCTTGCTTGGACCAAGTGCCTGCTTGGACCAAGTGCTTGCTTGGACCGAGTGCTCGCTTGTACCAAGTGCTTGCTTGGACCAAGTGCTTTCGTGGACCAAGTGCTTGCTTGGACCAAGTGCTTGCTTGGACCAAGTGCCTGCTTGGACCAAGTGCTTGCTTGGACCGAGTGCTCGCTTGGAGCAAGTGCTTGCTTGGACCAAGTGCTTGCTTGGACCAAGTGCTTTCGTGGACAAATTGCTTGCTTGGACCAAGTGCTTGCTTGGACCAAGTGCCTGCTTGGACCAAGTGCTTGCTTGGACCGAGTGCTCGCTTGTACCAAGTGCTTGCTTGGACCAAGTGCTTTCGTGGACCAAGTGCTTGCTTGGACCAAGTGCTTGCTTGGACCAAGTGCCTGCTTGGACCAAGTGCTTGCTTGGACCGAGTGCTCGCTTGGAGCAAGTGCTTGCTTGGACCCTGTGCTTTCTTTGACCAAGTGCTTTCTTGGACCATGTGCTTTCTTGGACCAAGTGTTTTTTTGGACCAAGTGCTTGCTTGGACCAAGTTCTTTCTTGGACCAAGTCCCTGCTTGGATCAAGTGCTTGCTTGGACCAAGTGCTTGCTTGGACCAAGTGCTTGCTTGGACCAAGTGCTTGCTTGGACCAAGTGCTTGCTTGGACCAAGTGCTTGCTTGGACCAAGTGCTTGCTTGGACCAAGTGCCTGCTTGGATCAAGTGCTTGCTTGGACCAAGTGCTTGCATGGACCAAGTGCTTGCTTGGACCAAGTGCTTGCTTGGACCAAGTGCTTTCGTGGACAAATTGCTTGCTTGGACCAAGTGCTTGCTTGGACCAAGTGCCTGCTTGGACCAAGTGCTTGCTTGGACCGAGTGCTCGCTTGTACCAAGTGCTTGCTTGGACCAAGTGCTTTCGTGGACCAAGTGCTTGCTTGGACCAAGTGCTTGCTTGGACCAAGTGCCTGCTTGGACCAAGTGCTTGCTTGGACCGAGTGCTCGCTTGGAGCAAGTGCTTGCTTGGACCAAGTGCTTTCTTGGACCAAGTGCTTTCTTGGACCAAGTGCTTTCTTGGACCAAGTGTTTTTTTGGACCAAGTGCTTGCTTGGACCAAGTGCTTTCTTGGACCAAGTGCCTGCTTGGATCAAGTGCTTGCTTGGACCAAGTGCTTGCTTGGACCAAGTGCTTGCTTGGACCAAGTGCTTTCTTGGACCAAGTGCTTTGTTGGACCAAGAGCTTGTTTGGACCAACTGCTTTCTTGGACCAAGTGCTTGCTTGGACCAAGTGCTTGCTTGGACCAAGTGCTTTCGTGGACCAAGTGCTTGCTTGGACCAAGTGCTTGCTTGGACCAAGTGCTTGCTTGAACCAAGTGCTTTCTTGGACCAAGTGCTTTGTTGGACCAAGTGCTTTGTTGGACCAAGTGCTTTCTTGGACCAAGTGCTTGCTTGGACCAAGTGCTTGCTTGGACCAAGTGCTTTCTTGGACCAAGTGCTTGCTTGGACCAAGTTTTTTCTTGGACCAAGTGCTTGCTTGGACCAAGTTCTTTCTTGGACCAAGTGCTTGCTTGGACCAAGTGCTTTCTTGGACCAAGTGCTTGCTTGGACCAAGTGCTTGCTTGGACCAAGTGCTTGCTTGGACCAAGTGCTTGCTTGGACCAAGTGCTTTCTTAGACCAAGTGCTTTGTTGGACCAAGTGCTTTGTTGGACCAAGTGCTTGCGCCTTCTTGGACCAAGGGCTTGCTTGGACCAAGTGCTTTCGTGGACCAAGTGCTTGCTTGGACCAAGTGCTTGCTTGGACCAAGTGCTTGCTTGAACCAAGTGCTTTCTTGGACCAAGTGCTTTGTTGGACCAAGTGCTTTGTTGGACCAAGTGCTTGCTTGGACCAAGTGCTTGCTTGGACCAAGTGCTTGCTTGGACCAAGTGCTTTCTTGGACCAAGTGCTTGCTTGGACCAAGTTCTTTCATGGACCAAGTGCTTGCTTTGACCAAGTGATTGCTTGGATCAAGTGCTTGCTTGGACCAAGTGCTTGCTTGGACCAAGTGCTTGCTTGGACCAAGTGCTTTCTTGGACCAAGTGCTTTGTTGGACCAAGTGCTTGTTTGGTCCAAGTGTTTTGTTGGACCAAGTGCTTGCTTGGACCAAGTGCTTGCTTGCCTGCGGAGAGGTGCTCACTTATAGGAGGCAGACACACACAGCTGCAAACAAGGATGCACCAAATGGGAGACATTGGAGATTTTACTTAATACAGCACAAGTTGACAGTGCATTGCAGAAAAGCATGTAGACCACTACACCCTTAACAGTAGAGAAGCTATGTATGTGCTCAAACTTACCTTATCAGTTTCGCGCAGGGAATTGCGGAAGGAGATCCAGGGATTGAGCCTACAGAGGTCCACCATGGTGACTCGATTGGATGCTGCCACCTGCTGGAAGTTCACCACTTGGCTGATCGTTATCCCTTTCACACAACTCGGCTTGGCCTTGGTTGGGTCGCGTTCCACACAAAGAGCGCGGAACGCGGGGAGGCTAGAAGGGCATGTAATGTCGGGGTTGAGCGCCACCAGCACTTCCTCAGCGATGCTGAGAAACTGAGCCACGGACGAGCATGTGTCGGCCTGTGGGAGGAGAAGGAATGGGGAAGGGGGTTTGAGAAGAAAAGAGGTGGTCAAGAGGGGCAAAGGAAGATACAGCAGCGCACAGGTAGTGGAACGCTGGGAACACTAAGGTGGAAAAAGGACCCAGTAGTCGTGGTGTTCCTGCTGCTTGGGAGAAGATGGTCAAGGGGAGAGTGGAGGGTGAATAGGAAGCACAGCACATGCCAGCACATGGTGGCACTGGTATCCATACGTGGTGCATGGGATGCTCCCACAGCAGAAGCAACATGTCAGACTCACCGGCTGGACGTAGTAGAAGGCAGAGCAGTTTGACAAAAGCTCTTTCACCATGAGCTCGCTACCCTTAGGAAGGAGAGCGGAGCAGTTGATACCCTGGAAGGGAAGTGGCAGTGAGAGAGGGAGAGGTTGAGTGAGAGGGAGACAGTGGAGCAGATTCAGAGAGAGTGAGATGAGAGTGCTCCATTGTCTCAAGCCGCCGTCTAGAGAGGGTGAGACAGGAAGAGAAAGAGAGGGAGATGGTGAGAGAGCAAGAGAGGGTGAGGCAAGAAGAGAGGGCGAAAGAGGGTGGAAGGGAGATATGGAACAGAAACAAGCACCATGTGGCAGCGCTCACTGGGTTCAAGTCGGTGAACTGCTGCAGCGTGAGGCCATAGATGGCGTACACGTCCTTGCACCTCCAGTTGCTGCCTAGCACTGTGATGCTTGAAATGGCCTTCCATTTCTGATCTGCGCTCGCCCCATGGGAAGGGGGATTATGCCACGTACGCGATTAGCCAGTGATGATACTCAGTCAGTCAGAAGCCATACATTTGATCAGGGAAACACACAGCTTAAATTTCAACTGTTTGCAGTATCCACTATTGGGTGAAGCGTTGCCAGCAGAGAGCAAGATCACCACAGCTGTAACCATGAGGGCTTACCACACACGTAGCATCGAGTGTCAAGACAGTCGTAGGCAATCGAGGCGTGGTTGGGCTGACAGACGCAGGTCCACATCTCGATGCTGCCGGCGCCGCGGTCGATGCATGTGCCCCCCAAGCACGGGGGGACTCTGTCTCTGCCACAGATGCCCGCTGGCGGGGGACACACGCACACACACAAGGAGCAGAGGATGGCAAGCAGTAGAGCGGCAAGGAGGTTACGATTGGGGAATCCGTGGGGTGCGAAAGGGCAGAGAAGACGAGGAGCATCGCTGCTGCCAGTACTGAAAGGCTTTTGATAAAAAAAATGGTGCTTCCCACGGGCACAAGCGACGCCAGCCCCTACATGGACCCTTGGTTTTGACATCTCTGCATCTGCATCGGGACTTACTGGTTTTACTCTCCTCGTCGGGGTACTCAGAAAGAGCTGTGGTGCTGCTGGCAGAGTCGGTGGTGCTGCTGGCAGAATCGGCGGTACTGCTGGCAGAATCGGAGGTGCTGCTGGCAGAATCGGCGGTGCTGCTGGCAGAATCGGCGGTGCTGCTGGCAGAATCGGTGGTGCTGCTGGCAGAATCGGAGGTGCTGCTGGCAGAATCGGCGGTGCTGCTGGCAGAATCGGTGGTGCTGCTGGCAGAATCGGAGGTGCTGCTGGCAGAATCGGTGCTGCTGCTGGCAGAATCGGTGCTGCTGCTGGCAGAATCGGTGCTGCTGCTGGCAGAATCGGAGGTACTGCTGGCAGAATCGTTGGTGCTGCTGGCAGAATAGGTGGTGCTGTTGGCAGAAGCGGTGGTGTTGCTGGCAGAAGCGGTGGTGTTGCTGGTAGCAATGATGCAGCGGGCGGACTTGACAGCCTTGCCGAGGGGGGACCTGGGCACGGGGAGGCACCGTGAGTAAGGTTGCTAGTCAGGAGGGGGATGAAGGAATAGCGTTAAGAGCATAGAAGCAGGTAGGGAGAGAGCGAAGACCGAAGGGCTCACTTCTGCTCGCCTTGCGCGAGAGTGTCCACCACCTTCCCCGTGCACTTGGAACTTTTGAACAACTGAATCGCCGTGCAAGCAGTCTTGTTTGCCTTCAGCCACCACACCTGCATTGTCCTCTTCCCACGGACGGCTAGCAAGGCTGGAATGGCGGCACAACGGCGCGCGTTGAAGGTGCGAGAGCGGCCGCTGATCTCCATCCACGTGCCAACCACGCTCGCCGCCTTACTCGATGCTGCGGCTGTTGCCTGGGACGCCTGCAGGGGACTCGCTGCAAGGATGGGAGCACGGGAATGCGAGGGTGAGGGGAGATTTAGTGGCATTCTCGGAATGGCATCGTGTGTGCCGTGCGAGCGCGATTTACATCCATTCTCGTGTGACGAGCTTTGAACGTGTGAGCATGGTGCATGCGAAAGATGGGTACTGTGCATGAGCGTGTGACCGCACTGTGCATGAGCGTGTACCGCTCATGGCATGAGCGCGCATGATGCAGCGGCGTACCAGAGATGACGGCAATGACGGCGAACAGCGCAAGCACGGCCTTGCCCTTCCCCATGCTGCTGTTTCCAGCGGACGCCACCCTTGGCCGCGCGATAACTAAGAGCAGGCGCTTGCGGCTCGACAGTTGGGACGGACGAGGATTGATACGGCACAACAAATACACGGGGGGGAGCGGAGATGATGTGATAGATCTACCGGCACCGCAGGGCGTTTGGAACTAGTAACTAGGACATGCGAGGTTACGAGGACGCCTGCGGATCTTATACCGCGACAACAGCAGGTTTTTTGAGTCGACTCAAAACACACTTTTGAGTCGACTCAAAACACGCCTGCGGATCTTATACCGCGACAACAGCAGGTTTTCAGTGAGACTGGCAGAATGTGCGATCGCGCATTCGAAGGCGGGCCTCTGTGACGGGAGATGCGCACCGTCCCCGTCACGGGCGCGACGCCTTGGGCCGTGATCATCGCAGAGGAAGTCGCAGAGAACGCGTTCCTTGGCGTGGCGAAGGCTGTGAGGTGCGGGCGGACGCGATGGTGCAGTCGCGATGCAGAAACATCTATTGGTCGGTGGCGATGTATCGCGTTATGTGGTGAACCGATGATGCTCAGGACGTGTTCCATTTGGCAGTAATCCTGAAGAATGCCTTCCTTGAGTCGATACCTGATTTTATGAGGGTCGATAAACGAGATTCAACCCTCATCGGGTCATCATAGAGCAAATAGGTTACCTGGTAAAACCTACGTCGCGCTAGCGACTTTTCCCGAATTGTAGCTCAGTCGTAGCCACGATTCGCCTGTTCGTCCATACGTCGGACGTGACCAAAAGTGAAGACGCGAAAATGTGACTGTCAATGTCGAGACTCACGCGTGCGCGAAAGTCGCATGGTACATTTACGATATTATTGAATTTCGTCACCACACAAGCTCGACCTGTTTTCCGACCAGTACTTTCGGACGCGCCCTTAAATGGCTTGTGCTCGTCCAACGCGTTGCTCGAACGCGTCAAGAGATTATTGAAAGGCCTGCATTATTGAAAGACGTAACATTAACTTTGGAGATATTCTATACTCCAAAATATATCCTATACTCCAAAATAAACATTGGAGATATTTTACGTTGTGCAGTTGGATGAGAGAGTGAGAGTTTGACTATAGAAGCAAAACAGTAACGGAACGAAGACACGAGTGAATTGTTACATAGTAAAGAATGTACAATTCATTACTGTATACATCCCTTAGCGGGGATGTATCAAAGGTCTCTCTATTTCGAAGACTTTGGTTAAAGCAAGGTTGCATAGTTCAGCATTAATGTTAGCATCTCAGCTTACGGTAAGCACAGCTGCATGCCCACCCACAACGACGACACGGTACAGTCATACCCCCCATTGAGTGAGCGGAAAAGGTTCACTTTCCGTTTGTATCGAGACGCAATCAGCTTGCCGCAAGTATCCCCTCTCCTCACCGAGTAGAACCGGCGAGTCTCGCACGGCATCCCTCCAGAACCCGGCCGCTCATCCACCATCACGCACACCTGGTGTGAGGGGTCAAACCACAATTTGACGCAAATCTCGGATATCAGCTTGCCACGCACAATAACGCATGGAGTAGGGGCAGACCGTGGGGAACAGGCAACCCAGCCAACAGCCCCGGCCAGCAGGTGGTCGTAACAACGAGAAGCGTTGAGTTGACAAAGGTTTGCAAAGCCCAGATCATGTGATCGCCACATGCGATTCAGACCCACTCTCCGAGTCGAGAACAGAGTCGTCTTTTTAGAATTCTAAAAAATCAGACTCTCACTCACTCACTCACTCACCGAGTCGAGAACAGAGTCGTCTTTTTAGAATTCTAAAAAATAAGACTCTCACTCACTCACTCACTCACCGAGTTGAGAACAGAGTCGTCCCACCCAGCTGCACCGGGCAGCAGTTGGTCACAGTAGAGGGCCGGGTTGATTCTGAAAAGCTTAGAGTAGCCCAAGAGGCTCCACCCAACGCCTAATCTGGATAGCGATTGGCACGTGTGCACTTCGGGATCGAGAATATGATGAATCATGCAGGCCTCCACTGGGTACGTGCGGCCGTTGGTGTTGTTCTGCACACATATGCGCTGCATGGAGGAGGGAAGGTGGGGTGTGGGGGGGGGAAGGGTGAGGGTGCAGGTGGGGGAGGGAGAGAGGGACGAGGACGGGGAGGGAGAGTTTGGTGTTGAGGTGCCTTAAGACATGCGGAGTCACAGAGGTGGCATTGGAAAGGTGGCATTGTCGCTTCTGAATTAGATGTCTTACCATCTATGTCTAAGGGGTCTCGGAATCGGCTAACAAGCTGTTGAGGTGATTTGAAGAGACTCAAATAACACTTAGAACTTTCGCTTTTATCTCGTGGCCAGATATTACCTACAAGCGCAATAGAAAAGGTGAAATGTGGCACGATCAAATTTCTGCGGTAATGCCTGCTAACATGAGTGGCAAAATGAGCTAAGAACCACACAAGAAGTACCAGGAGACTGGAACAGGACGAACTTGAAAAGGGATTGGGAAGGGGTCTAACCTTTCCAGGGACGAGAGGTTGCGAGCAGTCAATGTTACGGTTTAAGTTTGTTATGTTGGTGTCAAGAAGGGTGTTGATTGACATGCACGTGTCACCCTGGGGTGGGTGGGATGTGGGGGGGAGAAAGGGTGTATGTGAGAGTGAGATGGACAGTGGGGGAGATGCGAAGTCATCAGAAGCAACCAGCCATACCTCACCTGGTTGGTTCTACACATGCCTCACCTGGTTGGTGCCTCACCTGGTTGGTGGTATACATGCCTCACCTGGTTGGTGGTATACATGCTGGTGCAGCTCTTGTTGGCAGATGCCGACACGTTGACTATCAACCCACGAGGTATGGGCTTGTGGCATGCCAAGTCCTGCCAAGAAAGCCACGACAGAGAACAATACAACATGACACAGATTCACAGATTCTACGGGATGAGCAAAACACAGCAAAGGGCAAATAAACATTCATACGAGGGTGGAGCATGGAGGTCCCAGGATCCAAACATGGAGAGCCTTTGAATTCGTCAGAAGGAATCTATTCTCGCCAAAAATCTATATTAGTGAGACACAGATGCCTCACCTGATCACGACGCCTCACCTGATCACCACGCCTCACCTGATCACCACGCCTCACCTCATCACCACGCCTCACCTCATCACCACGCCTCACCTCATCACCACGCCTCACCTGGTTGCTGTCCAGCAGCTCTTGAGGTGAGAGGTCAAATATGTCGAGCAGCAGAGGGCATGTGAGGCCGGGGGGCGCTGGGAAGAAGGGCACTCGAGTGGCAGACGCACTCACTGGTGGACGAGGGGCAGAGGGGGAGAGGAAATGAAGAAGGGAGAGAGAGGGGGGCAGAGCAGAACAAAGGATAGAGGGGGGAAGGAGAGGCAGACGGGGAGAGGGGCGGGGAAGAGGGGAGAGGGCGCAGTGAAGCACAGAGTTGAAAGCAGTGGGTCAGCAGGCGACATGTCAAAACCTCCCACAGAAGGTTTGACAACGGAGGTTCAGTGTGATGACATTTTGTGAAGTTATGGATAATCCGTGATGCATGTCCCTGTTGTGCCCGTAACCCCCACACCCCCCCCCCCCCCCCCCCCCCCCCCCCCCTTCTCCCCTGTTTTATTTTCCTGCCCGGAGGATTTTTTGCCTGCCCGCCTTAGCATCCAATTAGCATCTCAAATGGCCGTTAGGCATGCACCCGTCCAGCATCCAATCCAGCACAGGTGATGAGAGGTGGAATGTGAACGGGAGAATTGGTTTGGTGGGAGTACGGAAATTAATCAGCATAGGAAAGCAATCAAGCATAGACAGCCGCATGCGGACACTCTGTTCGGTCAATGCTGCCAAAGGAATGAATCCAGCCCAGAAACGGTTGGGTTCCCAAATGATCACCCAACAAAAATGTCACCAAATGATCAGACCAAAAATGTCACCCAACAGGGTCTTATTGAAAGCAAATGCAAATTAGTGTAGAGTAACCTGTTGGGTGACATTTTTGGAAGCCCTCCAGACCTAAGTTGCAGAGTAACCTTACCTCACAGGGTCAACACAGCACCACTCTAGCAACATTGTTTGAAAGCCGGTTACAAGCAAAAAGAGCCATTGTTGTACGTAACCTTGAGGAGAAGTTAGTCTACCTTGGTTACAGGGTTGCTTGAGGGGTTTGGAGTAGTCGAGGGGGAAGAATGCGGGCGGGCAGAGGCAGAAGGAGGAGGCATCATAGCCCTCCACGCACACCCCAGGCGCACACGTGCCAGTGCTGTTAAGACGGCATGCGGGGAACTCTGAAAAGGCAGTGAGCGGGAAGAGAAAGGATGTAGAGAAGTTACAGGCAGTAAGTCAGCAATTAAGTTAGGAACTAAATGGATGATGGGGAAGTTTAGGTGTATGATTGTGGAAACTTTGAGTAGGAGGAAGCCAAGGAAGTTATAAACCTAGGGTGGTTGAGAGATTGAGAGGGCATGTGGATGTGTGATAGGCAAATTTATCCAATGATTTTTTTTGTAGAGTAATTGTATTATGCGAGAGTCAAATCTGTCAAACCAATGTGGCACAAGTGCAAGGGCTTGCAACTGGACTGGCTGTTTAAAGAAGGCAGGAGGACGAGGCACTGAGTGCACGCGCAAGTGCAGGCTGTGCACGCACAAGTGCAGGCCGTGCACGCGCAAGCAGACAGCGATTATACTTGTACATGCGCGATGCTGTGCCGAGCAGGCTTACCATTGTGGCACGTTCCAAAAGCAGGCTTACCATTGTGGCACGTTCCAAAAGCAGGCTTACCATTGTGGCACGTTCCAAAAGCAGGCTTACCATTGTGGCACGTTCCAAAAGCAGGCTTACCATTGTGGCACGTTCCAAAAGCAGGCTTACCATTGTGGCACGTTCCAAAAGCAGGCTTACCATTGTGGCACGTTCCAAAAGCAGGCTTACCATTGTGGCACGTTCCAAAAGCAGGCTTACCATTGTGGCACGTTCCAAAAGCAGGCTTACCGTTGTGGCACGTTCCAAAAGCAGGCTTACCATTGTGGCACGTTCCAAAAGCAGGCTTACCATTGTGGCACGTTCCAAAAGCAGGCTTACCATTGTGGCACGTTCCAAAAGCAGGCTTACCATTGTGGCACGTTCCAAAAGCAGGCTTACCATTGTGGCACGTTCCAAAAGCAGGCTTACCATTGTGGCACGTTCCAAAAGCAGGCTTACCATTGTGGCACGTTCCAAAAGCAGGCTTACCGTTGTGGCACGTTCCAAAAGCAGGCTTACCATTGTGGCACGTTCCAAAAGCAGGCTTACCATTGTGGCACGTTCCAAAAGCAGGCTTACCATTGTGGCACGTTCCAAAAGCAGGCTTACCATTGTGGCACGTTTCAAAAGCAGGCATTTGGGGGAGCTTGTAGCTGGGCTGGCTGAGAGGGCACGAGCACGTGCTGGTGTATGTGCCTGTGGCTGCGGACCGCACCGCACTGCACCTGCCAGCACCGCATGGATTCACGTCCCATGCCGTGCATGGGTTGACGTCTGTGTGGCATGGGGAGTGAGGAGAGGCAAGGAAATGATGATTGAAGAGGTATAGAGAGGAGCAGGAGTGAAGAAAGGAGAAAGAAGGATTGAAATCATGACAAAACAACACAATAGAAATTGTTAGTTGAGTGAAACAATGGATGTATCACTTGCATTTAACAAATTAAACGGATATAAAAATTTCGTGGTGAAGGCAAGCTCAATGACCAGCAATTCTTGGTTGATTTGGAATCACCGGCATGAACGTGGCACATGCAACCAAATCAAGTATGAATGTGTGCACATGCAGAGGACACTAATACAGATGCACGTGCACATTTACTGACATGCGCACGCACATTCTCAGAAACGCAACCAACCCTGTACACTCACCTGTGAATCGGAAGGTCCATGCTTTGATGGACTGAACACACGCCTGCGTGCTGGCACTGCTGAACCCTGCAAACACCGGAATCACTCCCTCGGTGCTGCTATTGCCATCATAGAACACAGAGCACAGGTCAAGAGTCAGCTTCACACTCCCCATCCTCGTAGCCCCTTTATAAGTAAATGCCTCCAGTGTCTTAGTGGCAGCCGTATAGTCCACCCTCATGCTATACAGTGAAGAAAGGTATCGCTTCTGAGAGGAGAACGCCAACGGATTTGTTACGTTAAAGTCAGTATGAACGGAGAGAATCGCCACATCCTTGTTAACGTCATGGTTAGGATCAAGGCCGCTGAAGGCATCAAACATCACCGCCACACTCCTCGCTCCGTCCGCCCACGTCCCATTCGCATCCCTCTCTTGCGCATCTCTCCCATACCCCATTGCCGCCCCTCCTTGCCCCACACCCGGCCGAGTAGTTAGCACAAACGTTACTCCAAAGCCGTTAAATCCCCTTCCCTTGAGCTCAAAGGGGAACCACGAGGTGAAGGATCGGGCCTTGCATACCAGCGCATCAGTCTTTCCGCCCTTCTTCTTGCGAGTCGCATGGGGGGGGAGGAGCGAGAGCAGGGGAAGGGGGAGGGGGAAGAAAGCAGCGCCTGCCTCCTCCTCCTGGTTTCCCGGGGTAAGTTGCAGCGAGGAGAAGGTGAGACGAGTGGAACCCAAGGCAGTGAAGCGGGCGGCTGGCGTGAGGAAAGGGAAGGAGAGAGACTGCGGCTGCCACAATGGGACAGGCGCCGGCGCTGTGGGAGGGATTGGGAGAAAGGAAAGGAGAGGAGGAAAGCACGGGGGGAAGAAAGAAAACCGGTTAGCTCACAACTCGAGAATGGGAGGAGGGAAGAGCGAAGAAGGAGAAGGGAGGGTGCCTGAGCTGAGGGCCGCCCTGCACCGAGCTGAGGGCTGAGCCCAGGCTGAGGGCTGCCTTGGACCGGGACAGCTCTTTTGGGAAGTCGGCCCCACGCGGGTCGGCCCCGAGCTTCCGAGCAAGCAGAGGGGCTAAAAGTACATGACACTCTCCTTTCACTCAGGTACTCTCAGAATAACCTTCATTCAGCTTGATGTATGCAAACTTCCCCACCAACAGCGCTGCTTTCCTTGCGGTCCACCTGGAAAGACCAGGAGAGGATGTCGTGCGTCTGAGTGTGCAGCGGCAGCAGCCCCAATTTAGGGATTGAGGAGATGTTGAGCAAGTGAAAAGAGGGAGGTTGGGTTTGGGAGGTTGAGAGGGGTGTTGTGTAGTTGGTGACGTGGGAGGGTTTGGAGTTTGAGTTTTGAAATGCAGACAGGGGTTGGGTGCTGTGCGAGGTCGAGGGTTCAATTCTCGCCGTCGCGAATTGTCGTTTTTTTTTTCTTCTTCTTTTGGGTGGGGGGGGGGCTGCCCCGGCATATTCATGCGATTTCCAGGAGTATTTCCAGCAAACCCGCCATGCATCCTGCCAAACCCGCCTCGCTCTCACCTTTAGTGTCGACCTGGAAAGACCAGGAGAGGATGTCGTGCGTCTGAGTGTGCAGCGGCAGCAGCCCCGTGCCGGCTGCAAACCCCGCATGCACCAACATGGCCTCACCGTCCCCGCCATCCTCCTCCGGAGAAGAGTGAAAGAGGTCGCAGGCGTTGAAGGGGAGGGAGAGGAGGGCGGAGGAGGGCATGGCGGGCGAGGAGGAGAGGCGCACGGAGAGCAGCGAGGCGGTGGCGTTGTAGGCCACCCACGCATGCAGCGTCTCGTTCTCCTTGCCGCTGCCGCCCAGCGAGGGGATGCCCGCGGGGTGCACGGACGCATGGCCTGCTGACGTCATGCTGTAATCCATGTTGATCCCCACGTGGTGAGTAGTTGGGTCCGAAAACAGACGGGTTGATGACGTGTCAAACTCCACTGCCAGGCTGTGCTGATGTGGCAGGCTGCTGTTGTAAGTGATACCACTGACACTGCTGCTCGATGTGCATGTAATGTCCCCGTTCATTGATACCATACACTGCTCCTCCTCTCCCCCTCCCACACCCACAAACAACTCTTCCTGTCCGTAAAGCCTTCTGCCGTATCCCATGTTTGGCCCGGGCAGCCCGACGGTCGGGTCGGGCAGGAGAACGAAAGCAAAGCCGTCGGCCCCGAGAGCAGCGAGGTGGGGGGAGGAGAGGCGGAAGGAGAAGGAGGAGGAGAAGGAGTAGGGGCGGCAGGGGGAGGTGGGGGTGGCGGGGGAGACGAGGGGGAAGGGCGTGGGGTGCAGGGCAAGGCCCGCTTGGTGGGGGGGAGAGAGGGGGGTGAGGCGCAGCGAGGAGGGGAGGAGGCGGGCTGAGCCGGAGGTGAGGAGGGGAGAGGAGGAGTTCAGTCGAGAGTAGGAGAAGGACGGAGGGGCGGAGGCCGCTGAAATTCGTGCTGAAAGGGGAAACGTGAAGAAAAAAGAGGGGTCAATGAAAGAGAAAGGTGAGAATGGAAACGGATGTGCTTGGGGAAAACGGAGAAGCAAAGATGGAAAACGGTGAAACAGGAGAAACAACTGTCAGGAGAAAGAATGAGCTCCAGGAAACAGAGCCCATGGAAAGACACTGTCTCGTTGGTCACGTGGGCTGCGTCCATGGAGTGGAGTCCCCATGTCCCCATGCCCCCATGTCCCCATGCCCCCATGCCCCCATGCCCCCATGCCCCCATGTCCCCATGACCCCATGCCCCCATGCCCCCATCTCTCCATGCCCCCATGCCCCCATGCCCCCGTGTCCCCATGCCCCCAGCACATGTCATATTGCCAAGAGAATCGAAACTGTGTCTCTGTGCGCACCTGTGCGTCTGGGAGTCACAGTCACCAGATCCACATCGATGCTCCCCGCTGCCGATGCCGCCGACGTCAGCGCCCCGCCTTCCACTGCTGCCGCTGCAGGCAATGGAACAGCCCCTGACGTGGCCGCATCTCCAGTCACAGACGCACCCCCGGGCAGGGACGACGAGCCGCCACCAGGCAGGGATGACGAGCCGCCACCAGGCAGGGACGAGGGACCGCCTGGCACCGACGAGCCTCCAGTCCCAGAGGGAGTTCCGGGACCCTGACCGGGACCAGGCAACACCACCGGGTCACCAGAGGACGTGCTGCTGCTGTCCGCCCCAGTGCTGCTGTTCACCCCGCTGCCCTCGAGCAGCACGAGGTGCAGAGCCACGCCTTGCGGCGGGAAGGAGAGAGCAGCGGCGGAGGCGGAGGAGGGAGGGAGGTGGAAGGAGAAGGGCCCGTGCTGGCGCCAGGGCAGGAGGCCAGAAAGCGAGTTGGAGTTGTTGTTGAGGCAGGGAACGCCAATGGTCCATTGATACAGCACCACCATCTCTCCGCTGCTCACAGCAGCTGATAGCGCACTGGCCAGGTCCGCCTCGTCCACGCTGCTGCTGCTGCTGCTGCTGCTGCCATTGCTGCTGCTGCCAGTGCTGTCGGCAGTGGTGGGCAAGGGCACGGCAATTGTCATTGCTCGCATCGGCCGCAGCCCAGAGGCAGAAGACAAATCCATCGTGCACTCGCGTGCCCTTGCATAGAAATACAGCGAAAACTCTGCCTCCTCCTGCGGTTGCTCCTGCTGCTGCTGCTGCTGCTGCTGCTGCTGCTGCTGCTGCTGCTGCTGCTGCGGCTGCTCTCCCCCTTCCACAACACACAGCAGCTGCCCCAGTCCCTGCACCGGCCACACTGCCCCGTCCCTCTCGCTCGTCCCGCTGCCCCAAAGCTCGCCACCGCTGCCGCCACTGCCGTCGCTGGGCTGCAGCCGCACGAACCGACCGCCCTCAGCAGCCACGGACGGGTCCCCGGGGGGAACGTCCACTCCCCCTCCCCCTCCCCCGTCCCCGTCCTCCGCCCCCTGCCCTTGCTGCGCTGCTGCGCCGCCGGGGACGAGCGGCAGCCAGGACGACAGGGGCGAGGGCCAGTCTGCTGCATTGGAGGATTCCTCGAAGCCCGCATTGCGCAGGAGGTTCAACGAGGGGGCTGGGGGAGGAGGTGGGAGGGGGTGAGGGGTGGGGAGGGAGGGAGGAGGAAGATGGTGGAGAGCGGTTATTTAACAGAGCGGGAATAATGACGTGAAATGTAGCTGTGGGGGATTCTTCTCTCTCCCTTTTCCTCCCGTTCATCGCGTCGCGTCAAGACAATCGACGCACGCGCGGGAGAAAAGGGAGAGATTAAAGATGGCGACAGATATATCTGACAGGGGAGGTAGCATTTGATTTGGGGTTAGTGCAGCAAATCTGGGCGGAGGGGTAATGCAGCAGAGGCTGGTTGCGAGGCTAACTTCGAAACATGACGTCGCAAGAATCAGTACCTCGAGCTGCGAGGATAGTACCCTTTCTGACACGTCGCAATGAGGAGTATTAATACCTTGAGCTGCAAGGCTCGCGCATGTCGGCACGGCGGCGTTGGCGACGGCGACGAGCGAGAGGAGCTGCGCGGTTACCACAAGCAGGCGAAGAACGACGCTGAGGCTGCCTGGACTCCTGATGCCACGTGGAGCCTGCCAACTCGAGGCATGCTTCCGATTTGTGTCACGGAGAAGGGACGCAGCAATTGACTCGCTATAGAGTGATTCGTCAAGAATAGCGGGTGTTTGGCTCGCGTGTGGCATGGAGAAAAGCGCCGCGAGAGCGCGGGCGGCGATTGTGAGGAAAGGGGAGAAGGAGCGAAACTTGCTGTGGCATCGCGCGACAGTAGGGATTACTTCGCACGTCTGCGGTTTCAAAAGGGAACCCTCACTACTGTCCTGTATCTAACCACCCTAACAAGCGGGCGAAGGCGAGCTGGGCCAGGGCCCTGATGAACCTGGTGTTGGGGCGGAACGTACGGCGAGTAGTAGTCCAGGTCGAACCCTAACCACGCTGCACCACGCCTTTGCACCTTTCTGAACTTCGGAAACGCAACAAACTGCTTTGCACCTTTCTGAACTTCGGAATCTGAGCCGAGGTTGTGTGAGTTGGATGGCTGCTAGGGGCAACGAAGTTTGGTTTACTCGAGTGCATGTTGCAATTTGCAAACCCTCGTGATTGCTTCAGGAGGCAGTTGGGTTGGGTTGGGTGTAGTGTAGAGTTGCAACTGGTGAGGCGAAGGGGAGGGAAGAGAATGTAGGTTTGAGTTGGGAGGGGTTTTGTGGCAGAGGGCAGCGGAATGTCCGCTAGCGTCGGGCGAATGTTGGGGTTCGGTTCGGTTGGGTTGGGTGACATCGGGCTTTTGCGACTAGCTGGTGGCCTGGTCACTGGGCGCGCTGTTCAAAACGCAAACGGAAAGTCCAGGTTCGGTGCGTTTCTTCCCGAAACTGAAGGAAACGTACATGGGCGTTGACCTTGGGAATATCTGACTCGCCTATGGGCGTTGACCTTGGGAATTTCTGACTCGCCAGTCTCGGAAACAGCATCTCGACCGTCCGTGATGTACCACATCGAAGCTGCGAGAGAGCATCACACAGCTTGCAGTCGTCAGGTTCCCGCCAATCCCTGAACTCAACCCGAGCAACTGCAGGCCGCACTGCTCCGCTGGTTCTGCCAAGCAGATTCGCTTGCTCGCTTGTCTCCCTCGCCCTCCGCTCCGCCAATCCACCCACTCCACCTCCACCAACCAACAATCACAGTTATGTACTCTACAGAGCCTACCCCTTTCCAGGCCATCGCATATGGCAGTGCTGCTCCAGATAATTCCATCCACCGCGTGAATTTCCTCCGTGTATCACGTGCCAGTAGCAGTCCCGCTAGCAACCTCCCTCCCACATCCTACATACAGCTGTACAAGGGTTAGATTTGGATATTCAGAGAGGTTGAAAGCAGTTTGGTGTGGTCAATCAGATACAAGTGCGGTGCAGCGCGGCGAGGGTTCTTACACCAGCCATTGGGGCAGCCATTAGAGCAGTACATTCCGCCGAATGCCTACGCTTCCAAACCTTGATCCAGCTTGGCTTTGCCTTGGCTTGATCATGGGGTGGTGTGATTCAAGACGAGAGCCAGGATTCATCATTCTAGAAAATGCAGACGCTAAGATAAGTGACGCTCACATAAGTGACGCTGACATAAGTGACGCTGACATAAAGTGACATTAAGATAAGTAATCGTCTCGCGCCATGCTCCCATCCGACTTGAAGTCTCATTCTGCCTCTCCTTTCCTCGCAACCGCGCGCTCTCGCGGAACTTATCTCCATGCCACACGCGAATCGACCAATCAGTATCATTAACGAGTCAATCTGTAGCAGCGTGTCACTCGTCGCGTCCCTGGTTATTTGGATTCATCCGGCACATGCCTCCAATCGTCTGGCTCCACGTGGCGCCTGGAGTCCAGTCAGCGGCCTCATCGTCGTTCTTCGCCTCCTAGTGGTAACCGCGCACTTCAACTCGTTCGTCGCTGTCGCCAACGCCGCCGTGCCGACATGCGCCAGCCTCGCAGCTCAAGGTAGTCCTCATTGCGACGACTCAAAACCTAGTAGTAGCCTCGCAGCTCAGGGTAGTACTGATAATCGCGACCTCAGTGCGACCTCTCGAAAGCTCCCCTCGTCGCAGTGCGACCTCTCAAAAGCTCCCCTCATTGTTCCCTCTCCCCTGTGGGAGATTGCTTCACAACCCCACTGCTTCCCCCCCACCCCTTCCCAACCCCCTCCCTCCCCCCCGCCCCACCCCAACCCCCTCCCATCCTTCGAGCATCCCGCACATTCCCGCCCATTGGTCTCGCGCTTCTCTCTCACTGGAGCTTCCTCTTTCATTAATCCCCGCTCCCGCCTCCCCCTCTCCCTCCCTCCCCTCCCCCCATCGCCCCGCAGCTCCCTCGTTGAACCTCCTGCGCAATGCGGGCTTCGAGAACAAGTCCCATCATTCCTCCCCTCCACCTTCCTCTCCCCACCTCTCCTCTGCACCCCATCTCCCCCCCAGCCCCCTCGTTGAACCTCCTGCGCAATGCGGGCTTCGAGGATACTACCGACGCAGCAGACTGGCCTTCGCCCCTGTCATCCTGGGTGCCGCTCGTCCCTGGCGGCGCAGCAGCGCAGCAAGGGCAGGACGCGGGGCAGGGGGGAGGGGGAGGGGGAGGGGAGGTTCCGCCCGGGGACCCGTCCGTGGCTGCTGAGGGCGGTCGGTTCGTGCGGCTGCAGCCCAGCGACGGCAGTGGCAACATTGGCGGGGGGCTTTGGGGCAGCGGGCCAAGCGAGATGGGGGGGACAGTGTGGCCAGTGCCGGGAGTGGGGCAGCTGCTGTGTGTTGCAAAGGGAGAGGAGCAACAGCAACAGCAACAGCAGCAGCAGCAGCAGCAGCAGCAGGGGGAGTTTTCGCTGTATTTCTATGCAAGGGCGCGGGAATGCGGCTTCGATATGTATATGACCTCTGGAGTACGGCCGATGCGAGCATTGATCGTTGCCCTGCCCCTGCCAACCCCTGTCAACAGCAGCAGCAACGGCAGCAGCAGCAGCAGCAGCAGCAGCAGCAGCAGCAGCAGCAGCAGCATGGACGAGGGCGAGTTGGCGAAGGCGTTAACAGCAAGCATGAGCAGCGGGGGAACAGACCTCATGGTGCTCTACCAATGGACCATCGGCGTTCCCTGCCGCACTCACGACGCCAACCCTCTCCCGCTCTCCGGCCTCCTCCCCTGGCGCCAGCACGGGCCCTTCTCCTTCCATCTCCCGCCCTCCTCCGCCTCCGCCGCTGCTCTCTCCTTCCCGCCGCAAGGCGTGGCTCTGCACCTCCTGCTGCTCGAGGGCAGCGGGGCGGACAGCGGCGGCACGTCGTCCGGCTTCGTTTCCGGTCCCGCAGCTGCCTATGTGACGTCCGTGCCTGGAGCTGCGTCCGTGTCTGTGCCTGGGGGTACATCTGCGCTGGGAGATTTTTCATTGTCTGCCAAGGCAGCAGCGGTGGTGGAAGACGGAGCGCTGACGTCTGCGGCAGCGGCAGTGGGGAGCATCGATGTGGACCTGGTCACGGTGGCTCCCAGAGGCACAGGTGCGCACAGAGGCACAGGTGCGTTGCTTGGTTGGAATCACTTGTTCAATAGGTTGGTGGTCATGCTGGCACAATGGTGGGCGCTCATACCACATGCATCCTGGGGTGCTGATGCCGCAAGCATCCTTGGGAGCTCGTACCACAAGCATCCTTGGGAGCTCATGCCACATGCATCCTTGGGAGCTCGTACCACAAGCATCCTTGGGAGCTCATGCCACATGCATCCTTGGGAGCTCATGCCACCACATGCATCCTTGGGAGCTCATGCCACATGCATCCTTGGGAGCTCATGCCACCACATGCATCCTTGGGAGCTCATGCCACCACTTGCATCCTTGGGAGCTCATGCCACATGGCACATTCACGAGCTCGATTCATCCTAGGTGTGAAATCCTTGAAGCTCATTCTTCCTCCAGACAGCCCACTCACCTCGTTCTCTCCTTTGCTTCCTCTCTTCCCTTTTCCCACCGCTCTTGCCCCCCTCCCCACAAATTCCAGCGGCCTCCGCCCCTCCGTCCTTCTCCTACTCCCGATTGAACTCCTCTCCCCTCCTCACCTCCGGCTCAGCCCGCCTCCTCCCCTCCTCGCTGCGCCTCACCCCCCTCTCTCCCCCACACCAAGCGGGCCTTGCCCTGCACCCCACGCCCTTCCCCCTCGTCTCCCCCGCCACCCCCACCTCCCCCTGCCGCCCCTACTCCTTCTCCTCCTCCTTCTCCTTCCGCCTCTCCTCAACCAACCCCGCTGCTCTCGGGGCCGACGGCTTTGCTTTCGTTCTCCTGCCCGACCCGACCGTCGGGCTGCCCGGGCCAAACATGGGATACGGGAGGAGGCCGTACAGGCAGGAGGAGGCTCCTTTGGATCCTGGAGGGGGAGGATCCGATGGGGGTGGAGGTGAGTTCTGTGTGGAAGATGAGAACGGGATCATCACATGCACGCCAATGGACAGCGGCGGCGGCATCACCCTCAACAGCAGCCTGCCACATCTGCACAGTCTGGCAGTGGAGTTTGACACGTCATCGACGCGTCTGTTTCTGGACCCAACAGTGCAGCACGTGGGGATCAACGTGGATTACAGCATGACGTCAGCAGGCCATGCGTCCGTGCACCCCGCGGGCGTGCCCTCCCTGGTCGGCAACGGCACTGAGACGCTGCATGCGTGGGTGGCCTACAACGCCACCGCCTCGCTGCTCTCCGTGCGCCTCTCCTCCTCGCCCACCATGCCCCCCTCCGCCCTCCTCTCCCTCCCCTTCAACGCCTGTGATTTTTTTCACAATGTTTCGGGGGACAGCGGGGAGGGTGAGGCGGTGTTGGTGCATGTGGGGTTTGCTGCTGGCACGGGGCTGCTGCCACTGCACACTCAGACGCACGACATCCTCTCCTGGTCTTTCCAGGTCGACACTAAAGGTGAGATGGAGTGGTAGGAGTCAGGGCAAGGAATGGTCGACAGACAGAGCAGGCTGGGCAAAATGTGTAGAGCTTGTTGGGAAACTCAGCCGTTAACCATTGTTGGAAAACTCAGCCGTTAACCATTGAGCTAAAGGGGCTTGTTTTATAGGGGGTGAGCGCACGTATAACTCCCTAGGCCATCCTTATCTATGACCCTTTCTCAGGTCGTTAGGCCGATCCTGGTGCTCCTCCAACACCCCCTCTCACTAGGGTACATTGTAGGACTACAGACACAATCCATTGTGCACACTAGGATTCGAACCCGGGACATTCTCTCTGGTACCATGTTGAAAAGCTCAACCGCTACTCACTGAGCTAAAAGGGCTTGTTTCATAGCGGTTGAGCGCCATACACCCCCCGGCCATCCTTTCCTGTGACCTTTTCCGAGGACCTTAGGTCGATCTCAGTGCTCCAACAGAGCCACGAGATATCCAAGTGTCAAATGAAAGGGTTGAAAACGTTCATTCTTCCCACTCCCTCAACTCCTCTTCAGCCCCTCCACCGTTGGTTGTGTCGGCTCTGGGTGCTGCTTTGCTCACTTTCCCTGTGTGCTTCCCTCCTCTCCCCTTTAAAACACCCTTCCCCTCCTAAAAACACCCCTTCCCCCATTCCAGCGCCGGCGCCTCTCCCCATATGGCAGCCGCCGTCGCTCTCCTTGCCCTTCCTCACTCCAGCCGCGCCCTTCACTGCCTCGGGTGCAGCTCGCCTCGGCTTCTCCTCGCTGCAACTCACCCCGGGCAACCAAGACCAGGAGGCAGGCGCCGCCTTCTTCCCCCTGCCCCTGCCCCTGCCCCTGCCCCTGCCCCTGCCCCTGCCCCTGCCCCTCCCCCTCCCCCTCCCCCTGCCCCTGCCCCTCCCCCTGCCCCTGCTCTCGCTGCTCCCCGCTCCTCCCCCCCGCAAGGGGAGGAAGCGCGGACTGGGGCCCTCTAAGCCGTCTAATGACCGTGTGGTGTGCAGCGCGCGCTCCTTCACCTCCTGGTTTGCCTTTGAGCTCAAGGCCAGTGGCGCTAATGGCTTCGGGGTCGTTTTTGTACTTAGTACTCGTCCAGGGGTGGGGCAAGGGGGGACGGACATGGGATATGGCCGGGATGTGCAAGGGAGGAATGCAAATGGGACGTGGGCGGACGGAGGGAGGAGTGTGGCGGTGATGTTTGATGCGTTTAGCTGCCTTGACCCTAACCATGACATTAACAAGGACGTCGCGATTCTCTCCATTCTCACTGACTTTAACGCGACTCAGCGGCTGGCGTTCTCTACTCGGGAAATACGTGTCACCTTCACTGTACAGCATGAGGGTGGACTATACGGCTGCCACTAAGACACTAGAGGCAGTGACTTACAACGGAGCACAGAGGATGGGGAACGTGAGTTTGACTCTTGACCTGTGCTCTGTCTTCTATGATGGGACGACTGGCAGCACCAACACCAGCAGCAGCAGCGGCGGCAGTGGCAGTAGCAGTGGCAGCGGCAACAGCAGCAGCAGTGGCAGCGGCAACAATAGTGGTGGCGGTGGAGTAGTTCCGGTGTTTGCAGGGTTCAGCAGTGCCAGCTCGCGTGCATCCATTCAGTCCATCAAATCGTGGACCTTCCGATTCACAGGTTCGTGTCAAGGGTTGGGTTAGTGTTGTGAGCGTGTGAATGGTTGGGTTGGGTGCATGTGGGGTGAGGTGGGCAGTTGAGCGCATGCATCAATGCATCTGTGTGTGTGCGTGTGTGTGCGTGTGTGTGTGCGTGTGTGTGTGCGTGTGTGTGTGCGTGTGTGTGTGTGTGCGTGTGTGTGTGTGTGCGTGTGTGTGTGTGTGCGTGTGTGTGCGTGTGTGTGTGTGTGTGTGTGCGTGCGTGTGCGTGTGTATGTGTGCGTGCGTGCGTGCGTGTGTGTGTGCGTGGGCGTGTGCGTGTGTGTGTGTGTGTGTGTGCGTGTGCGTGCGTGCGTGCGTGCGTGCGTGCGTGCGTGCGTGCGTGCGTGCGTGCGTGCGTGCGTGCGTGCGTGCGTGCGTGCGTGTGTGTGTGTGTGTGTGTGTGTGTGCGCGTGTGGTGATCTGATTCTGTTAACCGCACCCAGCGTCTATATCCACAGAACATCGATGTATACCATGGCTCACCATAGCAAGCATCTATCAACAACCACTTCTTAATTTCTTGTTTCTCGCTTCCTCTATTCAGCCCAACCCACTCCCACACCTTCTATATCTTCTCATTATATCTCCCCCCTTCCATGTCACGCAGACGTCAACCCGTGCACGGCATGGGACGTGAATCCATGCGGTGCTGGCAAGTGCAGTGCAGTGCGGTCACCAGCCACAGGCACATACACGAGCACGTGCTCGTGCCCTCTCAGCCAGCCCAGCTACAAGCTCCCCCAAATGCCGGCCTTCCAAACGTGCCACAATGGTAAGCCCAGACAAACGTCACCGCATCACAGTGCATCAAGCGCCTTACGAACATGCCACAATGATATGTTGTGCCATTCCGCACAGCACAGCATGTTGGAAGAGTATCCATTCTGCGCGCTTGTGTTCTTGATTGACCTGCTTCAGCCAATCCAGCTGCATTTCTGCAGCTTGCCTGCCACTGTGGTATCTATCTCCCAGCTTGAGTGTATGTGTGCTGACTTAACATCATCTTACAAAGCCCAAATTCAGTTTACAAGGCTGTCATTCCCTCACAACCACCCCAGATTCATGCTCTGTTGATCTTTTAATCTGTGAGAGCTGTTACTTATATTGCCTCTAACCCCATCACATCACCTTTAACCCTTCTACGTTTCCCATCCGTAGAGTTCCCTGTATGTCGCCTTAACAGCACTGACACGTGTGCGCCTGGTGTGTGCCTGGAGGGATATGATGCCACCTCCTTCTGCCTCTGCCCGCCCTCGTTCTTTCCCCTCGACTACTCTAACCTTCTGAGGCGTCCCTGTAACCCAGGTACGACTCTAATTCCGTAAAGGGGGCATTCAATCTAGTTATGACAATCGTACATGCTTCGGCCCATCCTCCTTGTTGGATATGACGTCTCTAACAGACAGGGCAGCGTTCCTCTGTTCCCTGCCGTCTGCCGTCATTAGTACTGACGCACCTTTGCTGCTATGCTAGCATTTTTTTCATTGGCTACGACCGCTGTTTAGTCTGCTAAGATTTAATCAGCTAAAATGAGTTCTGGTAATAGAGGAACCGCTTGTGAGGAGAATCTGTGACAATCCAATCTATCAGAGGTCCGCCGGTGATCCATGATTGATCCTAGGGAAGGGTTATAGGCGCATTGGCCAGGGGGGTTGTAGGCACACTCACCCGCTACACAAACAAGTCATTTTATCCCAGTGGTTAGTGGTTGGGATTCTGATATGGAATCACAACGAAGGTCTAGGATTTGAATCCCAGTGTATGCACCTCGGGCATCCCAATGCCGGGGGGGTGCCAGAAGTCTACTGGTGATCCTCGATTGATCCTAAAGAAGGGTTACAACACATTGGCCTGGGGGTTATGGGCGCACTCACCCGCTACACAAACAAGCCCTTTTATCCCAGTGGTTAGTGGCTGGGATTCTGACATAACCCACTCCTGTAACTCTTTTTAACGATAAAGAACTTAGAAAAGCGACCACTGACTGACCTATAAAGTTAAGTCAGCATATTATTTAGTGTTTGAGTTACTTCAATTGGAGGTTTCGTGACTGGCTGCCGCACCCACCAGCCCACGCTATGTCTGCAGCCTCTGGTACGAACGACTTCACTGCTCCACCAGAGCCAAGGTCCTCCCAATCACCCTGTGCCACTTTTGCTAAACTCCTATCTGTGCCACTTTTTCTCCCAGCCTCGTCCTTGTGCTTCTCCTACTTCTCCCACAACCAACCAATCACCCTCCGCGTCCCCGCTCCCGTCTCGCCGCCAGTGAGCAAGTCCGCTGTTCGAGTGCCCTTCTTCCCAGCGCCCCCCGGCCTCACATGCCCTCTGCTGCTCGACATCTTTGACCTCTCACCTCAAGAGCTGCTGGAGAGCAACAAGGTGAGGAGTGCTGATGAGGTGATTTTCGTATTAGGCAATCCCGCCTTCTCACTTAGTTGATTGATTCACAGTGTGTTGCATTGTGCTGTTCTGGATTTTTTCCCATTAGCAGAAGCAGAAGCAGGTTTTCGAGTTATCCCAACTTTTTTAATCTTGGCCAATCAGATTGATGAATTGATGCCGTGTTGTTGCATTGTTCCCGTGTGGTTACATTGGCAGGGCTTGGCATGCCACAAGCCCGTACCTCGTGGGTTGATAGTCAACGTGTCGGCATCTGCCAACAAGAGCTGCACCAGCATGTAAACGACTAACCAGGTGAGGCATCTGCAGCACCAACCAGGAGAAACAAACAGAGGGAAATAACGATTTTAGCTCAACAGAGCACATATGTTAAGCAAGCGGAGTAGTGTACCAACCTAGAATTGGGCTAGGATTGGTAGATTTGTTGCATGTTACGTCAAGTTGCAAGTTGCATTTGTTTCTTCCCACCTCCTTCCCTGCTCCTCTGCCCCTTCCTGACCCCACAAATCCCAGACCAGAGAAATACATGCATACAATATTGAGAATCAGCATAACATGCCTTTCTGCGTCTCACCCTCATGCCATCCCACTTACCCCAGGATGACACGTGCGCATCAATCAACAAACTCATGGGGACCAACGTAACAGACTTGAACCGTAACATTAACTGCTCACAACTGATCATACCTGGAAAGGTCGGTTCCCATTCCGATCCCTTCCCAATACTTCACTCTTTCTTTGAGTCACAGCAACAGCTTGTCACCTCAAGAGCTTGTCACCTCAAGCACTTCACTTCAAGTGTTTAGGCCATGATTCAGCCGGCTGCTTAAGAGCCATTTTCTACAGCTTATCCGAATCAAATCCGAAGGGTTTGTCAACAGCACCTTGGACCTACCTTTTCCATTTCACATGTACCATGTATCATGTGAGAGCTGGAATATTTCACATGTATGTACCATGTATCATGTGGCTCAGCAAACCCTCAAGGTACCTCAACGCCGCCCTCTGCCCTCCCTCTCCTCCTCATCCCTCTCCCCCCTGCAGCGCGTGTGTGTGGAGAACAACGCCAGGTACCCTTCCTCCCCGGTGGCGGCCTGCAACCTGTACAAGACTCTCGACTCCACCGTGCACACGTGCCAGAAGCTCGCCACGCTGCGCCCTGGACGGCACATCATGAGCATCGCAAAGCTCTTCCGAGTCAACCCCGCTCTCTACTGCGACCACCTGCTGCCCGCTGCTGCTGGGTGGACTGACTCTGTTGTTGATAAGGTGAGTGGCTAATTGTTACATGCACATGCGATTTTTATTCATCCCTTTGGAGCCTTCCTTACCTTGTGCGACTCAACTCGGCTCGTTATTGTGGCTCGCTGCTGCCTGGTGCTGCAGCCTAGTGCGGCTGCTGCCTGGACTTGTCGCATCCTCCTTTTAGTGTGTGCTTAAACCATGTGGGTTGCCTAAGCGAACATCTTGTTTTTCGTCCAAGAAATTATGCAGCCCTTGCAAAGATTAGGCCTGCGTTTAGTTTTTCTCCTGATTCTATCCTTTCAGATCAGTTCCGAATGCGGTAAGAGTTCTCGTTGTGCTTGTGTGGTTGGTAAAGTGGCATTTTAGAGTTTCTTGCGTTACTTGTAGCATTTTCATTGCAACACGGCGCTTTCATGTTATGTGAGGGAATGAGTACGGCTTGGACCATAAGTGGACTTGGGTGAAACTGGTTCATTCACTTGGGCCGTGATGCACTCATTTCTCACTCCTCCCATCAGGTGTGCTTGCTAGCGGATGAGCTCTCAGGATATGGAGGGATGCAGTGCGTGACTAAACGCTTATACCTCGTGAGGAGAGGAGACACGTGCGGCAAGCTGATTGCGTCTCGATACAAGCGGAAAGTGGACCTTTTCCGGTCACTAAATGGAGGGTTTGACTGTACTGTCTCCTCTTTGTGGGTAGGGATGCAACTATGCTTACCATAATCTGGCATCTACAATAGCGTTGTAAGCAGACATGCTTTTTTTGATGCTCAGCTTGATGCATCAGCCAGAGCATACCCTGATTTGTTTCCTCTAATCTGGTGGATTTCATCTCGCCCCATTTCCGCCCTCTTGCTACCCTGACTCGCCCACCTGTTTTATCTCGTCCTGCCCCCCAGCCCACCTGTTTCTCATCCCTGTTCTTTAGACCTGTTTCTCAAAACCAAAGTACACGCATAGACAAAATGAGCGATTTTAGGCCTGCTGTCCATTTTGGGCTCACAGATTCTTTGGGGGGTGTACTGTACAACCATTTTATATAGCATCAAAATGTAGCTCTTGCATTTTGTTCCAAACCGGCCGAAACCACTACCCAGCCGTTGACCTTCAACAATGTCAACGTGCCAGTCTGGCAGACAGCATGTCGTTCGTCGTTGCCGCCGCGTGCGGAGGCACAACAGTGTGTGTCCACCAACCAGTCTCAAAAGCCCGGTTTCACCCAACCCAACCGAACCGAACTCTAGCATTCGCGCGACGCAAGTGGCCGTTCGGCTGCTCTGTGTCAGGAAACCCCCTCAACTCAACTCTTCGTTCCATTCCTTCCCCTTCACCGGTTACAACTCTACACCCAACTCCTCCCTCAAGCCATCACGAGGGTTTGCAAATTGCGACGTGCATTCGAGTAAACCAAACTTCGTTGCCCCTAGCAGCCATCCACTTCAAACAACTTTAGCTCAAATTTCGAAGTTCAGAAAGGTGAAGAGCAGTTTAGTGCGTTCCGTGAGATAAAGGCGTGGTGCAGCGTGATTAGGGTTTGAGCTGGATTACTACTGGCCGTATGTTCCGCCACAACACCCAGTTCAGAGCCCTGGCCCAGCTTGTCTTCGCCCTTTGGTTAGGGTGGTTAGATACAGGACAGTAATGGGGGTTTCTTTTTGAAACCGCAGACGTGCAAAATAATTCCTACTGTCGCGCGATGCCACAGCAAGTTTTGCTCCTTCTCCCCTTTCCTCACAATCGCCGCCCGCTCTCACGGCGCTTTTCTCCATGTTACACGCGAACCGAACATCCGCTATTCTTAACGGGTCACTCTATAGCGAGTCAATTGCTGCGTCCCTACTCAGTGACACAAATCGGAAGCATGCCTCGAATCGCCAGGCTCCACGTGGCATCAGGAGTCCAGGCCGCCTCATCCTCATTCTTCGCCTGCTTGTGGTAACCGCGCACCTCCTCTCGCTCGTCGCCGTCGCCAACGCCTCCGTGCCGACATGCGCCAGCCTCGCAGCTCAAGGTACTGATATGGTTCTTGCCACTTCTTGAAAGGTAGCCTCGCAGCCTGTAGTAACAACCCCGGCACCCTTCAGCCTCGCAGCCTGTAGTAACAACCCCGGAACCCTTCAGCCTCGCAGCCTGTAGTAACAACCCCGGCACCCTTCAGCCTTGCAGCAGCTCTCTCTAGGAAACACGTCTCGTGTAACGCCTGCGTGCTTAGTAATAGTAGTGCACGTAGCGTTGAAGTGCGGTCGGGCATCCGATGCGCCTCAACAAAAACTACGACCCTCGTTTTGACCCAGAGGATAGCGACGCGGCGTTATACGTGTTTACGCAGCAGCCCAAGTCGCAGGGGAACATGATCCAGGGGAGACACTAGTTGATTCAGAAAATCCGCCAGTTCGAAAGTGTGGATCATCCGATCGTAGTAGCAGCAATCCTCCGAAAAGTCCTCCGGGGTAACCAATCGTTCTCCTCCGAGCAATCCTCCCGCGATCGTAGTAGCAGCAATCCTCCAAGGAGTTCTCCGGAGTAACCACTCGTCCATGAGGAAGTCGCCGCGAAATGTTACCCGCATTTCGCCCAACTTACCGTCGACGGCGAATAGCCACATCCCCAACCAGCCAATTCCGCGCCAGCAGCAGCGAACGGCCCAATTGCCTCTCCCCACCTCCTCAGTCAGTTATATCTGTCACCTCTCCCCTTCTCTCCCTCTTCCCCGTTCTCCCCCCCCCACCCCCCCCCCACCTCCCCCCCCAGCGCCCTCGTTGAACCTCCTGCGCAATGCGGGCTTCGAGGAAACGTCCAATGCAGCAGACTGGCCCTCGCCCCTGTCGTCCTGGGTGCCGCTCGTCCCCGGCAGCGCAGGGCAGGTGGCGGGGGAGGGGGAGAGGTAGGGGGAGGGGTAGGGGGAGGGGGAGGGGAGGTTCCGCCCGGGGACCCGTCCGTTGCGGCTGAGGGCGGTCGGTTCGTGCGGCTGCAGCCCAGCGACGGCAGTGGCGGCAGCGGTGGCGAGCTTTGGGGCAGCGGGGCGAGCGAGAGTGAAGGGGCAGTGTGGCCGGTGCAGGGACTGGGGCAGCTGCTGTGTGTCGTGGAAGGGGGAGCAGCAGCAGCAGCAGCAGCCGCAGCAGCTCGAGGAAGAGCAAGTGTTTTCGCTGTATTTCTATGCAAGGGCGCGCGAGTGCATGATGGATTCGTTTTCTTCCTCTGGACTGCGGCCGATGCGAGCAATGATCGTCGCCGTGCCGCTGCCACCACCACCAACCACTGCCGGCAGCAGCAGCAGCAGCAGCGTGGACGAGGGTGAGCTGGGCAGGGCGTTAGCAGCAGGCATGCACAGCGGAGAGATGGCGGTGCTGCATCAATGGACCGTCGGCGTTCCCTGCCTCAACAACAACTCCAACTCGCTCTCGGGCCTGCTGCCCTGGCGCCAGCACGGGCCCTACTCCTTCCACCTCCCTCCCTCCTCCGCCTCCGCCGCTGCTCTCTCCTTCCCGCCGCAAGGCGTGGCTCTGCACCTCGTGCTGCTCCAGGGCGCTGCGGCGGGCGTCGGTGGCATGGGGCCGGGTGGCCCCGTGGTGTTGCCTGGTCCCATTCAGGGGTACGTTCCCGGAGCTCCCTTTGAGACTGGAGGCTCGTCGCTGCCTGGTGGAGGCTCGTCGCTGCCTGGTGGAGGCTCGTCTCTGCCTGGGGGTGCGTCTGTGAGTGGAGATGCGGCCGCGTCAGGGGCTGTTTCATTTACTGCAGAGGCAGCAGCGGTGGAAGCGGTGGGCTCACGTCAGCGGCAGCGGCAGCAGGGAACATCGACATCGACCTGGTCACCATGGCTCCCAGAGGCACAGGTGCGTTGCTTGCTTGCTTACTTGCTTGCTTGCTTGGGATCACTTGGGATCACTTCTTAGAAGCAAAGTGTGAGTTGGTTCTCCCAGATTCAGTTGCTTCGGATCACTTCTTGGGGGCACAGTGTGTCTCAACTTGACCCACACGCTGCTGGCCGCACTTGACGTGGGGGGGAGTGGATAGCATGTGGCTTGGCTGTGTAGCTCCTCGCAGAAGATCAAGTACATGCCACATTTGGGCGTGAGTGACGTACGTTTGGAATTTATTCAAGTGAAAAATTGGTGTAAGTGATCCATTGTTATGGACTATAGAAACTCGTTCTCCCACCTCATTCTCTTCTCTGCGCATGCCCATGCACATCCGTTCCGATTCTCACCTTTCTCTTTCCATTACCCCTGATTTTTCTTTCTGTTTTCCCTTTCCCACAATTTCCAGCGGCCTCTGCCCCTCCGTCCTTCTCCTATTCCCAATTAACCTCCTCCTCTCCCCTCCTCACCTCCGGCTCAGCCCGCCTCCTCCCCTCCTCGCTGCGCCTCACCCCCCTCTCTCCCCCCCACCAAGCGGGCCTTGCCCTGCACCCCACGCCCTTCCCCCTCGTCTCCCCCGCCTCCCCCACCTCCCCCTGCCGCCCCTACTCCTTCTCCTCCTCCTTCTCCTTCCGCCTCTCCTCCCCCCACCCCGCTGCTCTCGGGGCCGATGGCTTTGCTTTCGTTCTCCTGCCCGACCCGACCGTCGGGCTGCCCGGGCCAAACATGGGATATGCCAGAAGGACGCACTGGCAGGAGGCGTTGATTGTGGGTGCAGACGGGGGAGTTGGGGACGTGGGAGTTGCAGATGGGGGAGGACTTGTGGGTGGGGTAGTGGAGGAAGAGTGTGTGGTATTGAACGGGGCCTTTGTATGCACCCCGATTGGCAGCAGCAGTGGGAGTGGCATCACTTACAACAGCAGCCTGCCACATCAGCACAGCCTGGCAGTGGAGTTTGACACGTCATCAACCCGTCTGTTTTCGGACCCGACCACTCACCACGTGGGGATCAACATGGATTACAGCATGACGTCAGCAGGCCATGCGTCTGTGCACCCCGCAGGCATCCCTTCGCTGGGCGGCAGCGGCAAGGAGAACGAGACGCTGCATGCGTGGGTGGCCTACAACGCCACCGCCTCGCTGCTCTCCGTGCGCCTCTCCTCCTCGCCCGCCATGCCCCCCTCCGCCCTCCTCTCCCTCCCCTTCAACGCCTGCGACCTCTTTCACAACGCCCCAAACGAGGAAGAGGGGGAGGGGGAGGCCGTATTGGTGCATGCGGGGTTTGCAGCCGGCACGGGGCTGCTGCCGCTGCACACTCAGACGCACGAAATTCTGTCGTGGAGCTTCCAGGTGGATACTCAAGGTGAGCAGGGCAGTTGATGGGGAAGAGATGAATGAATGGAGGTGTTTTTGAAAGCAGATGAGTGAAAGGAGTGTGTCAGAACTACCTTTGCCCGCACTCCTCTCTCCCCTTCTTCACTAGCTATCAGTACCATCCACCTTTGCATGTGGGAGTGATGTATCCGTGAGTAACAATCTGATAGAGTTGTTTGCACTAGATAGTATAAGGCATACATACATACGAACCCAAGTGAGCTTTGGGAGGGAAGGGGATGGTTGGGGGCAAAATCGCGCAACTCCCTTTCTCCCAGCCCCGACTCCTCCTCCTCTGTGGTTGCCACCGTCGCTGCGTGCTGCGTGCTGTGTGCTGTGTGCTGCGTGCTGTGTGCTGTGTGCTGTGTGCTGTGTGCTGTGTGCTGTGTGCTGTGTGCTGTGTGCTGTGTGCTGCGTGCTGCGTGCTGCGTGCTGCGTGCTGCGTGCTGCGTGCTGCGTGCTGCGTGCTGCGTGCTGCGTGCTGCGTGCTGCGTGCTGCGTGCTGCGTGCTGCGTGCTGTGTGCTGTGTGCTGGCCGGCTCACGTTCCCTTTGTGTTAACCTCCCCTCTCTTCTTCCTCCCCCCCAAAACTCCTTTTTCTCCCAGCGCTGGCTCCCCCTCCCCTGTGGCTGCCACCGTCGTTCTCCTTCCCCTTCCTCACGCAAGGCGCCCGCTTCACTGCCTTGGGTTCCACTCGCCTCACCTTCTCCTCGCTGCAACTCACCCCGGGCAACGATGACAACGAGGCAGGCGCCGCCTTCTTCCCAGCGCCGGCTCTCCCTCCCCTGTGCCTGCCGCCGTCGCTGTGTGCTACATGCTGGCCGGCTCGCATTCCCTTTGTGCTAACCTCCCCTCTCTTCTTCCTCTCCTTCAAAACCCGCACCTCCCTTTCCCCAGCGCCGGCGCCTCTCCCCCTGTGGATGCCGCCGTCGCTCTCCTTCCCCTTCCTCACGCAAGGCACCCGCTTCACTATCTTGGGTTCCACTCGCCTCACCTTCTCCTCGCTGCAACTCACCCCGGGCAACGATGACAACGAGGCAGGCGCCGCCTTCTTCCCCCTCCCCCTGCCCCTGCTCTCGCTCCTCCCCGCCCCTTCCCCCCGCAAGGGGAAGAACAAGGGCGGAAAGGTTGATGCTGTGGTGTGCAAGGCCCGGTCCTTCACCTCATGGTTTCCTTTTGAGCTAAAGGCCAGCGGGTTTTTCGGATACGGGGTGGTTTTCGTGCTAAGTACTCGGCCGGGGGTGGGGCAAGGAGGGGCGGCGATGGGGTATGGGCGGGACTCGGTAGGCAGGAATTCAAACGGGACGTGGGCGGATGGAGGGAGGAGTGTGGCGGTGATGTTTGATGCCTTTAGCGGCCTTGACCCTAACCGTGACGTTAACAAGGATGTGGCGATTCTCTCCGTTCACACTGACTTTAACATGACTCGGCGGCTGGCTTTTTCGTCTCAAAAGAGATACACTTCATCCTCATTATACAGCATGAGGGTGGATTATACTGCTGCCACTAAGACACTGGAGGCGGTTACATTTAAAGGGGCTACGAGGATGGGGAGTGTGAAGCTGACCCTTGACCTGTGCTCTGTGTTCTATGATGGGAATAGCACCACCGAGGGAGTGATTCCGGTGTTTGCTGGGTTCAGCAGTGCCAGCACGCAGGCATGTGTTCAGTCCATCAAAGCGTGGATCTTCCGATTCACAGGTGAGTGTGAAGGGTTGGTTTGGTGAGTGATATGTGCGTGTGTGTGTTCATTTGTTTGTGTGCATTCACGTGTGTTTTGCTTTTGTAGCTTAAGTGCATCAAGCGTGGAGCTTCTAATTTCGCACTTTTGTGTGACTGAAGTGTGATTGCCGGTGATTGAGCATTCATTGCTGGTGATTGAGCATGTCAAGTTTTAAAATCCTTCCTACTCCTTTCTTCAGCAGCCCTGCTCCCCTCTCATCACCACTATCATCCTCCTCTCTCATCTCCCTCATCCTCTCCTTGTCTCTCCTCACTCCCCATGTCACATAGACGTCAACCCATGCACGGCATGGGACGTGAATCCATGCGGTGCTGGCAGGTGCAGTGCGGTGCGGTCAGCAGCCACAGGCACATACACCAGCACGTGCTCGTGCCCTCTCAGCCAGCCCAGCTACAAGCTCCCCCAAATGCCCGCCTTCCAAACGTGCTTCAATGGTAAGCCCAGACAAGCGTCACCGCATAGTGCACAAGGGTAGTGACCAGTCACCACCAGGGTACTTCACAAGGGTTTTCATTCCATTGCCTTAGCCCATGCTCTTGCCTCAGTGCAACCGTCTCAGTCGCAATTTGATTCGAGTGTGCCACGTCTGTGGCTCTAACTCTGTCAGCGCACTACCGACAACAGAAATACACTACAGTGGGTGTTAGGATTCTGAATAGACGTTTCACAATTGTGGTTACAGATTCAAACTCATGCTCATGCTGTCTCAAGCACCCCAGGCAGATTCCCCTTCAGCTTCCTAGCACTCAAGGGTGCCACAGTCATCCCTCCAGTTCCTACTCACCATCTAATTTCTGACTTCCCCCCTCTAATCCCTTCATAAATTTTCTCTCCCTATCCATCCACTCTCCCTCCAGAGTACCCCATCTGTCGTCTTAACAGCACTGACACCTGTGCGCCTGGCGTGTGCCTGGAGGGCTATGATGCCTCCTCCTTCTGCCTCTGCCCGCCCGCCTTTTTCCCCCTTGACTACTCTAACCCCCTCAAGCAGCCCTGTAACCAAGGTACTCTAACCTCTTCCCAACCCAAGGTTACCTTGTTAACTTAGCTGAATCACTTCAACTGATTAAAGGATGTTTTCTGACCTCTCAAGGTTGGCCATTTGACATGCTTTCTGCCCGTGTGGTAGGCAAACCTTGACTTCAACTACATAGAAATGAAGTGCTAACCCCGATTTTCTTTTTAGTTGAATCTCTTGTGCTCGCCTGTGCAGTGCACACCTGGGCACTCTTGCGCACTCCTGCGCACACCTGTGCAACGAGTGCACAAGAGGACCTCGTGTGCATTGATTCAATATCCTTCATATGAGGGCGTGTTCCTGAGCTCGTGTCATCCGAAAACATTGGAACTCGCTCGATTGGCCAAAATCATAAAACCGACCAATCACGTGCATTCCAAATTATCCGGATGACACAAACACGGGATGACACAAGGCTAGGAATACGCCCTGAGGGTCATGTCAAATGCATAACTCTTAATGCTAGCGAATGTTTCTCTACTTGGCGGCACCGGCCGAACAGAGCCTAATGTGGCACTTCAACTAACTGACCGCTTTGCTATTCTAATGCTTTATTATCCTCCTCCTCCCACGACCTGTCTACCACTCCTTTTCTCTCTGCTTCTCCGACCTACCACTCACTCCCCCATTCTCTCCCGTCCTCTCACCACTAAAGCCGTTAACCCGCTGGTCCCTCATTTATTACCCTTCTCGCCGCCTCCTACCAACGACTGGCAAGCGATGGAAACTCACCAATGCTTGGTTTTCCCTGCCTCGTCCTTTGCTCTTCCCGCATCCCTTTGTACCAATGACCTCGACCAGCTCCCCCCTCACATGCACTTTAATGGTACGCGGCTTTCAGTTCAGCTCTTTGCTTCACTATGCCGTCTCTCTCTTCCTCCACTTGCCCCCCTGTGTCTCCCCTAGACATGATCAATCGAGGCGAGTTTTAGCTCGACTCGCTGGCTCGACTCGACTTTAGGTCGAGTCGAGTCAGTTATTTTATTTTCCTGACTCGAGTAGAGTCGAGTCGAGTCGAACTGAGGAGAAATCTCGATGCATCGCCCGACTCGACTTTGGACAGTCTGGTGAGCCACGAGTCGGCGAGTCGGCTGACTCGATTCGAGCTGGCCTGACTCGAGGGCCACCAACTTTATCCACGTGGATTCCCGTTGTCAATTCCCCCTCCTTTCCTCATGCAATTTCTCCCGTCACCGAATTCCTGACCATCACTCAATTTCCGCTTGACTAGCAAATCTTCCTTGACACTCAATTTCCGCTCGACATGCAAATCCCCCCCCCAACACTCAATTTCCGCCTGTCACACATCAAATTCCCCCGACACCCAATTTCCGCCTGTCACGCAAATTCCGCCGACACCCAATTTCCGCCTTTCACGCAATTTTGGGTGCGCATCAAATTACCTGTGCTGAAAGGGGAAGGGACGGGATTTTGTCATTCCTACCTTGCATGCTAGCTACGAATCAGGACACGACTTTTGGGGCCCTTTAAAATTCTTTACGGTTAAGTCGAGTCAAGACTGACTCGCGAGTTGTTGACTCGTGCTCGAGTCAAGGCATGACTCGATTTCAGAAGTCGAGCACGAGTCGGCAGTTCCGGAAAACTGACTCGACTATGGCTCGACTCGACTCGACTCGACGCAACTCCCGACTCGACCGCGATTCGAGGTGACTCGGCTCGACTCGACTCGTGATCATGTCTAGTCTCCCCCTTTATCCCCCTTTCCCCCCTCTGCCCTCCATCCCCCTTCCCCACCCTCCCCTTCTCCCCTCTGTCCCCTCTTCCTCTCCCCCACTTCTCTTCTTTTGCCCTCTGTCCTCCAGTGAGTGAGTCCGCCACTCGAGTGCCATCCTTCCCAGCACCCCCCGGCCTCACATGCCCTCTGCTGCTCGACATATTTGACCTCTCACCTCAAGAGCTGCTGGAGAGCAACCAGGTGAGCCGTGCTGATGAGGAGAGGCGTCGTGATGAGGAGAGTCGTGGTGATGAGGCGAGGCGTGGTGAAGAGACGAGGCGAGTATATAAGAATACTTATGTAATAAAGAGTTGTTAAACACTTACTGGCGATCTGCTAAACCCTCTGCTTCTTGCTTGTTCTTATAGGTGATTACAATCATGTTACTGGTTGGTCGTAACATATCTAGAAGCACAGGAGCTAGTGTAGCAGAGTCATGGCAAGTCATTAGTCTAGACTTCATTACTGGGCTTCCTTTAACCTTACGAGGACATGACACTATACTCGTGGTGATCAATAAGTTCTCAAATATGGGACATTTTATACCGATCAATGCCACGAGTACAGCTGGAGTTACTGCTCGTCTTTTCACCGCATCCACGGCATTCCCACTACACTCATTTTAGACAGAGATCCAAAATTTTCCAGTGTGTTATGGAGGGAACTCATGGGTTTGTTATGGACAAAACTTGCAATGTCTTCAGTATACCACCCCAGGCTGACGGCCAGTCGGAGCGACTCACTCAGGTGGTTGAATAGTTACTGTGATCATCTTGCAAAGACGATGTCAACCACTTGGATTCAATAAAGGTTGCAATCAAGAAAGCTAGAACCAAAGACATATTATCTCGCCTTCAAGGAAACATGCCTTTTTCCAATCCTAGTAGAATTTTTAACTCGCTCTTCGGGTTGTGGATCGTGAGACAGACATGAGTGGTTCACCCTCGTATGATTGCCCGTTTTCTTTGTTGATGCGTTGTTTTGCTCTTTTCATCTCTGTCTTTTGGTGTCATGCTGCATTGTTTTCTGCTGTGGCCCTCCCTCTTTCGGCTCCCCCTATTTTCATCTCTGTCTTTTGGCGTCATGCTGCATTGTTCTTTGCTGTGGCTCTCCCTCTTTCGGCTCCCCCTTTTTTCACCTCTGTCTCTTTTGGTGCGGCAGGACTTGGCATGTGACAAGCCCATACCTCGTGGGTTGATAGTCAATGTGTCGGCATCTGCTAACAAGAACTGCACCAGCATGTATACCGCCAACCAGGTGAGGCATGCATACCGCCAACCAGGTGAGGCATGCATACCGCCAACCAGGTGAGGCATGCATACCGCCAACCAGGTGAGGCATGCATACCGCCAACCAGGTGAGGCATGCATACCGCCAACCAGGTGATGCATGCATACCGCCAACCAGGTGAGGCATGCATACCACCAACCAGGTGAGGCATGCATACCACCAACCAGGTGAGGCATGGCTGGTAGGCAAGGGAAAAACCAGGTGATGCATGGCTGGTTGCTTCATATGATACGGTGAAACACAGTCGGTTGTTGGTCAATAGACTGGATAACGCCTTAAACGAGCTGCCATGTGTCAGAGGGCCATGTGGTGCACGTGCACCGCGTGACAACCAATCACAGTGACACGTGCACTTGACCTGTGACTTGACCCTGTGACTTGACCTGACACATGGCCCTCTGCCCCGTTCTGCCCGTCTCACACAACCCAGAGTGGCACGTGCGTCGTTCAATAGAATGGGGTTTCTAAGGGCTACGTAGCAGCCTTTGCCATTCATTGCTCGCAAGTGCATTGCATCTAATCTCCCCGCATCATTCCCTTTCCCCCGCCACACACCCTGCATCACACTATTCTTGACCAACACACCGTAGCATATTGGAGCCACAGTGCCACGTGCACCGCGTGACAACCAATCACAGTGCCACGTGCACCGCGTGACAACCAATCACAGTGACACGTGCACCGCGTGACAACCAATCACAGTGACACGTGCACCGCGTGACAACCAATCACAGTGCCACGTGCACCGCGTGACAACCAATCACAGTGACACGTGCACCGCGTGACAACCAATCACAGTGACACGTGCACCGCGTGACAACCAATCACAGTGCCACGTGCACCGCGTGACAACCAATCACAGTGACACGTGCACCGCGTGACAACCAATCACAGTGACACGTGCACCGCGTGACAACCAATCACAGTGCCACGTGCACCGCGTGACAACCAATCACAGTGACACGTGCACCGCGTGACAACCAATCACAGTGACACGTGCACCGCGTGACAACCAATCACAGTGCCACGTGCACCGCGTGACAACCAATCACAGTGACACGTGCACCACGTGACAACCAATCACAGTGACACGTGCACCGCGTGACAACCAATCACAGTGACACGTGCACCGCGTGACAACCAATCACAGTGCCACGTGCACCGCGTGACAACCAATCACAGTGACACGTGCACCGCGTGACAACCAATCACAGTGACACGTGCACCGCGTGACAACCAATCACAGTGCCACGTGCACCGCGTGACAACCAATCACAGTGACACGTGCACCGCGTGACAACCAATCACAGTGACACGTGCACCGCGTGACAACCAATCACAGTGACACGTGCACCGCGTGACAACCAATCACAGTGCCACGTGCACCGCGTGACAACCAATCACAGTGACACGTGCACCGCGTGACAACCAATCACAGTGACACGTGCACCGCGTGACAACCAATCACAGTGACACGTGCACCGCGTGACAACCAATCACAGTGACACGTGCACCGCGTGACAACCAATCACAGTGCCACGTGCACCGCGTGACAACCAATCACAGTGACACGTGCACCGCGTGACAACCAATCACAGTGACACGTGCACCGCGTGACAATCAATCCTCCGCCCTCCTCCACTCCCTTCACCACTCATCCCTCCTTCCCTTCCTCGCCCTCAACATCCTGCAGCCACGTGGAATCTTCCCTCTACTGCAGAGCCCGTTGTGAGCATGCCCCGCCTCATTAATCTTCAATCTCAGCGTTGTCTCTTTGGTTCTAATGTCTGCTCCTTGTTTCCAATATGATCCTTTTTTTCCAATGTGATCCCTTGCTGTGGTGCGCATGGCTGCTTGTGTAATAATATTGCCATAGTGTATGGCGCTTTTCTTTACGATCTTAGCTCTCTCTGCTCAGTTTTACTCTTGTTTCCTCTCGTGACTTCCTCACATCTCCTAATGCGCCACTTTCGTTTTTTCTCTCTTAGCCTCCCCAAGTTCTTCATTTCCATGTCTGCTTCCCAACTGCACTCGTATGCTGCCACCTGTGTGCTGTAATGCGTAGAAGGCATGGCTATTCTGGGTTGCAGAGAGTGGAGAGGTTGTTTGGGGCTGTCATGGCGAGTATGGCTGGAATACGCGAGTTGAAAGAGGCGATGGAGATGAGAATGAGGGCGCTTGGAATGCAGCTGGAAGAGACAAGGAGGTAGTTGGCATCAGTGAAGGGGGGATTGGAGGAGGCTGAGAGGAGGCGAGTGGCGGAGATCAGGGAGATGAAAGGGAAGGTGGAGGAGAGGGAGAGGGAGCTGGCATCAGTGAAGGGGGAGGTGACTGAACTGAAGGATGTTGTGATGAAGTTGCGTGTTGATTTTAATATCAGCCAGAGTGATAGTGACACAAAAGAAGCATGGGAGGTGAGTGCCGGGAGAATAATTCATAGGGAATCCATTGTTGCACAGGGCATGCGTTGGCACATGGGGCATGCGTTGGCACATGGGGCATGCGTTGGCACATGGGGCATGCGTTGGCACATGGGGCATGCGTTGGCACATGGGGCATGCGTTGGCACATGGGCATGCGTTGGCACATGGGGCATGCGTTGGCACATGGGGCATGCGTTGGCACATGGGGCATGCGTTGGTACTTGGGGCATGCGTTGGTACTTGGGGCATGCGTTGGTACTTGGGGCATGCGTTGGTACTTGGGGCATGCGTTGGTACTTGGGGCATGCATTGGTACTTGGGGCATGCGTTGGTACTTGGGGCATGCATTGGTACTTGGGGCATGCGTTGGTGATCATCCCTTCACTTGTCATGATTCCCCTCCATCCATTTCCTCCAGGCAATCAAGTCAGCTTCAAAAGAGACCTATTTGAGCATGGAAAATTACCACGGCCTTTCAGGCGATATCCTTGAGCATGTGTCCTCAATGACTCACCTGACTAGCATTTTTCTGGGGGGATCTTCAGGCTACAGTGCAGAGGGCATTACACACCTCTACAGGCTACCACGGTTGGTAGAACTAGGATTAGATGCCACAGTCATTTCAGATAGTGCTTTGGAAGGCATCGGGTCGTTGACCACTCTTCAACTACTCTTTCTCATGGTGACCAAGGTGACCGATTCTGGTCTGGCGCACTTGACAGGCCTCTCTGTTAAGTTGTAATGTGTTATTTATATGTAGGTAGGCTGTAGTGGGGTAGCCAATACAGGGTACAAACCCAACTAGGGTTAGCTACTAGGGTTTCTTTCAATGCATCATTCTTGCCTAGTTCTTTTCACATGGTATTCAGAGCAGGAGGTCCCTAGGACCTACCGACCGTTTTTTTTTAAGGGCCCACCACCGCTCGCATGCGGTTACCACGCTACCCCGTGCCCTAGCCTCGTAGCGCCCTCGTGCGCCCTCGTTAGCGCCCTCGTGCGCCCTCGTTAGCGCCCTCGCGCGCCCTCGTTAGCGCCCTCGCGCGCCCTCGTTAGCGCCCTCGCGCGCCTCTCGTTAGCGCCCTCGCGCGCCCTCGCTAGCGCCCTCGCGCGCCCTTGTTAGCGCCCTCGTGCGCCTCTCGTTAGCGCCCTCGCGCGCCCCTCGCAGTGTCGCCCGCCCGCCGAGCCGCCCGCTCGCAGCGTCGCCCGCCTACCGCGCTGCCCGTTTCGCAGCCCGCCCGCCGCGCTGCCCGCTCGCAGCGTCGCCCGCCCGCCCGCTGCCCGCTTGCAGCGTCGCCCGCCCGCCCGCTGCCCGCTTCGCAGCGTCGCCCGCCCGCCGCGCTGCCCGCTCGCAGCGTCGCCCGCCCGCCTCGCTGCCCGCTTGCAGCGTCGCCCGCCCGCCCGCTGCCCGCTTCGCAGCCCGCCCGCCGCGCTGCCCGCTCGCAGCGTCGCCCGCCCGCTGCCCGCTTGCAGCGTCGCCCGCCCGCCCGCTGCCCGCTTCGCAGCCCGCCCGCCGCGCTGCCCGCTCGCCGCGTCGCCCGCCCGCCCCGCTGCCCGCTTCGCAGCCCGCCCGCCGCACTTCCCGCCTGCAGCGCCGCCTGCCCACCGCGCTGCCCGCTTCGTAGCCCGCCCCCCGCACTGCCCGCTCGCCGCGTCGCCCGCCCGCCGCGCTTCCCGCCGAGCTACCTACCTGCAGCGCTGCGGCAGCTTCCTTTGCTCAGTCGCACTGTCGCTATGGCTTCCATCCGCGTGCTGTCCTTCGATGCTGAGGGCCGCCCTGTGAAGTTCGCCACTTGGCTGGATGACCTGCAGCTGTTCCTTCTGAGCAGTAGCAAGGAGCATGTGTCGCTCTATGATTACGCGTCTGGTGCTGCACCTGCCCCTCCTGCCACAGCTGAGCTTAGTGTTCGTTCCCACTGGCAGACTCGTGACGCAGCTGCTCGCCTAGCCATTCGCAGTCACCTGCCGCTAGCTGAGCTCGAGCATTTTGGCGACTGCAAATCCGCTAAGGCCCTGTACGATGCTGTCGTTGCTCGCTACTCCTCGCCTGCCACAGCCGAGCTTAGCCGCCTCATGCTGCCGTACCTGTTCCCTGAGCTGTCCACCTTTGCTACAGTCGCCGATCTTATCACCCACCTTCGCACTAGTGATGCTCGCCTGCGTGCCGCCCTTCCCACCGAGTTCTGCGCTAAGAATCCCCCTCCACTGTACTGGACACTCCACTTCATAGTCACCCGTCTCCCTGACACCCTCAGCTCAGTTCGAGACCACTTCCTTGCTCGCTGTCCCACTGAGCTCACAGTCGCCCTCCTAGAGGAGCAGCTGCTAGCGGCCGAAAAGAGCATTGTAGCTGTCGGTGCTGCTCGTGGCGCTCCTCGCACCCCCATCTTTGAGGGGTGTTCTCCCTCTCCCCTCGCTCCCTCCTACGCTGCTGCTGCTGCTGTTGACTTCCTTGGTGCTGAGTCTGCTGGCGCTGCTTCTGCTCCTGGTGGGAGGCGCCGCACCGGCAAGGGCAAGGGGGGCAAGGGTGGCGGGGGTGGCGCTGGGGGGGGAGGAGGTGGGGGAGGTGGGGGGGGAGGCGGTGCTGGAGGGAGCGGTGGCGGGAGCGCTGGTGGGAGTGGGGTCGGCGGTGGAGGCGGGGGCGGCGGAGGAAGCAGTGGCAGTAGTGGCGGCGGCGGCGGTGGCGGCGGCGGTGGCGGCGGTGGCGGTGGTGGCGGTGGCGGTCGGAGCGGTGGTAGTGGTGGCGGCGGAGGTCGGAGTGGAGGCACCGGCTCGGGCCAGAGCTCCCAGCAGCAGCAGCGTCCCCAGACGACCCAGCAGCTTCGTGAGTGGCTTGCTCAGCGTGGGACGTCGGGGGGCAGTGGCCGCTGTTCCTATGTCATTCGCACAGGTGACCGCAAGGGACAGACGTGTGGGAGGTTCCACACCCCGTACCGCTGCTTCTCCCGCCTTGACGATGCTTGGCGTGAGGAGATGGGCGAGGATGTTGAGCGCCCCCGCTGGGCTGAGCTCATGAGGGCTGGTGTTGATATCTTTGCTCTTGACTATGATGCTATTATTGCTGCCATGTATGCATTGACTGTTAGTGCCGAGGGAGACTGTTACTTGTGTGTGCCGCCTGACCCAGGTATAGAGCCCGCTGCCCTGGGTACTAGTGAGTCTGCTCTCTCTGGTATGGTGCCCCCTGTACTTGCTCCCTCCAGTGCTGTCCCGGCTGTTTGCGAGTCTGCTCTCTCAGGTACAGCACCCACAGAGACTGCTCTCTCAGGTACCGCACCGGCTGAGGCCTGTTACACCTTCACCCTTGACTCAGGTGCTTCCCGCTGTTTCTTTCGTGACAGTACTGAGCTCACACCGCTTCCTGCACCGGTCCCAGTCTCCTTGGCTGACCCCTCTGGGGGCCCAGTCCTTGCCCAGTCCACCACTGTGCTCCCTTGTCCGGCGGTTCCGTCTGGCTCGTTGTCGGGTTTCCACCTCCCCTCGTTCTCGACGAACCTGGTGAGCAACGCTGTCATCCAGGATCAGTGGGTTGACACCTTTACCCCTGGAGGACAGCGTGTGGCGATCTGCACGTGCTCCAGGACCGGCCGTCACCTGGCTACGTTTACCCGTCGGCCGGGGTCGAGTCTCTACACACTGACCACTGCGTCTCCTCAGGTTGCTGCTGTCGGTCAGGTGTCCGCGTCAGGTCTGGTGGCCCACGCCTGTGAGTGTCGTTCCCTGTCGCACCAGACTCTTCTCTGGCACCACCGCCTGGGTCACCCCTCCTTGCCACGCCTCCGTGGCATGCACCGTCGCCGCCTTGTGTCTGGTCTTCCCAGGTCCCTCCCTCCCCTCCCTGCCTCGCCTGCGCCGCCCTGCCTTCCTTGCGTCGAGGGGCGGCAGCGCGCCGCTCCTCACTCCTCCTCGTTCCCCCCGACAGAGGCTCCTCTGCAGACCCTCCACCTGGACGTGTGGGGCCCAGCCCGCGTTCGTGGCCAGGGCGGTGAGCGGTACTTTTTGCTGGTTGTCGACGACTACTCGCGTTACACCACGGTCTTCCCCTTGCGCACCAAGGGTGAGGTCCCTGCTGTTCTGATCCCTTGGATCCGCACAGTTCGTCTCCAGCTCCGCCGCCGTTTCCGGACGGATCTTCCTGTCCTGCGTCTGCACTCTGACAGAGGTGGTGAGTTTTCCTCCGATCTCTTGAGGACCTTCTGTCAGGCGGAGGGCATCGAGCAGACCTTCACGCTTCCGGACTCCCCACAGCAGAATGGGGTTGCTGAGCGCCGCATTGGCCTGGTCATGGAGGTCGCTCGTACCTCCTTGGTCCACGCGGCGGCTCCCCATTTTCTGTGGCCGTTTGCTGTCCGGTACGCCGCGCATCAGCTCAACCTCTGGCCCCATGTCTCCTTGCCGGAGACCTCGCCCACACTGCGTTGGACGGGGGAGGTTGGCGATGCGTCGCGCTTCCGGGTGTGGGGTGCTCGTGCCCTTGTCCGCGATACGTCCGCGGACAAGCTCTCCTCCCGCACACTTCCCTGTGTCTTCCTTGGCTTTGTCCCTGACGCGCCGGGCTGGCAGTTTTACCACCCCACCTCGCGCCGGGTCTTCGCCTCTCAAGACGTCACCTTTGACGAGTCGGTCCCTTTTTACCGTCTCTTCCCCTACCGCACTGCCCCCCTCCCTCCCCCGCCGCTTTTCCTTGCTCCTGGTCCCCCTCCGGTAGACCCCCTTCCCCCTCAGGGTCCTGCTCCTTCAGGTGTCTCTCAGGTAGACCCTCCTCCCGTCGCTGAGCCTGTCGAGGTCACAGGTGACTCAGGTGCTGCTGCAGGTGGTGCTGCTGGGAGTGCTGAGCCTGGGGGTGCTGAGCCTGCGGGTGCTGGGCCTGGGAGTGCTGGGACTGCGGGTGCTGGAGCTGAGGGTACTGTGCCTGGGAGTTCGGCGCCTGGGGGTGCTGAGCCTGGGGGTGCTACGACTGGGGGTGCTGAGCCTGCGTGTACGGAGTCTGGGGGTGCTGAGCCTGGGGGTACTGCGCCTGAGGGTACTGAGCCTGGGGGTGCTGCTGCTGAGCCTACGGAGCCTGGGGGTGCTCTTTCTGGCGGTACTGGAGCTGCTGGGGCTGACGACGCTGGAGCTCACGGTTCTGGACACGGTGGTCCTGCTGGTTCTGGAGGTGCTGGCGAGGGGAGGTCTGACGCTGCTGGGGCCTCTGGTGCTGACGTCGCTGACTCGGGGGGTGCTGCGGCGGAGGGTGCTGGTCCAGGTGCTTCTGGTGCTCCGGGTGCTGGAGGTGCTGGCGGAGCTCCGCCGTCGCGCCTGTTCTTCGCTCCTCCGTCGCCGTCGGCTTTGCCGCCGCCTGACACGGTGCTTCGCCAGGTTCTTTCCCTCCCGTCTTCCACTGGCCTTCCCCTTCAGCCTGGCTCCCCCCTCCCTGCTCCTGTGCCTTATACTGCACAGCCGGACTCGCTTACGGAGCGTCGTGAGCCTGCGTCTCGTCCTGCCTCGCCTGTTCGCGCTGCTCGCACTGGTCCCACTAGCCGTCGTGTCGCGCGTCCGCGTCCTCCTCCTGTTCCTGGCACGCACATTATGGCACTTCGTCCTTCCACTGGTCCACAGCGTGTCCCCCTACCGTCTCCTCCTGCGTCTTCTCTTCCTGACGTTCCCGACCCTGAGTCTGACAGTGTTCGTGCTGCCCACCCTACTGTCACGCGTCTTCTCGCCACTGTTGTCACTGACCCGTCGTTTGAGTCTTCTGCTGCGTCTGCCCTGGTCGCTGAGCTTGTCGACTTTGCTGCTGCCTGTCGCCTCGACTACGCCGCCAGTCTTGTTGCTGGGTCTGAGTCTGTCTGTCCTCCGTCCGTCGGGGGTGAGTGTGCTCTTGGCACGGACGTCCTTGAGGACAGGCAGGAGGACTTTGACTCTCTCGCGGCTGCTGTACCTCATCTCGTGGCCTGGTTGCTTGCCCCTGAGGGAGACCCGGATGCACTAGACATCCCTACTCCGCGCACTTACGCAGAGGCGATCTCGGGTCCCTACTCCTCTCAGTGGCAGACAGCCATGGACGCAGAGATGGCATCCTGGAAGTCCACAGGCACCTACGTCGACGAGGTTCCCCCTCCTGGGGCGAACATCGTCGATGGCATGTGGATTTTCAGGGTGAAGCGGCCGCCAGGTTCTCCCCCTGTCTTCAAGGCTCGTTACGTTGCTAGAGGCTTCAGTCAGCGTCAGGGGGTCGACTTCTTCCAGACCTTCTCCCCCACCCCGAAGATGACCACTCTTCGGGTTCTGCTGCACGTTGCTGCTCAGCGTGACTACGAGCTTCACTCTCTTGACTTCAGCACAGCGTTCCTGCAGGGCAGCCTGCACGAGGAGATCTGGCTGCGCCGCCCACCTGGCTTTACTGGGTCGTTTCCTCCTGGTACCCAGTGGAGCCTCCGGCGGCCAGTCTACGGTCTCCGCCAGGCGCCACGTGAGTGGCACGACACACTGAGGACTACAGTTGCGGCTCTTGGGTTCGCGTCGTCTACTGCTGACCCGTCGCTGTTTCTGCGCACAGACACGTCGCTGCCGCCGTTCTACATCCTCGTGTACGTCGACGACTTGGTCTTTGCTACTGCTGACACTGAGGCACTCGCTCGTGTGAAGTCGGAGCTGCAGAAGAGACACACCTGCACTGACCTGGGTGAACTGCGCAGCTACCTTGGCTTGCAGATCACCCGGGACAGAGCTCGCCGCACCATCACCCTGACTCAGTCACACATGGTGCAGCAGGTCCTTCAGCGCTTCGGCTTCCAGTTCTCCTCACCACAGGCCACACCTCTGGCTACCAGCCACTCGCTCTCAGCTCCACCTTCGGACGAGTCCGTAGAGCCGAGTGGCCCGTACCCAGAGCTTGTAGGCTGCCTCATGTACCTGATGACTTGCACGCGACCTGACCTCGCGTACCCACTTAGCATCCTTGCTCGTTACGTTGCGCCTGGGAGACACAGGCGAGAGCACTGGGAGGCTGCTAAGAGGGTGCTGCGTTACTTGTGCAGTACATCAGGCATGGGGCTGGTGCTTGGAGGATGCGACAGAGTTGTCCTCACTGGTCACTCGGACGCTTCTTGGGTGGACGACCTGGCTACGCAGCGGTCGTCACAGGGTTACACCTTCAGCCTTGGCTCTGGTTCTGTCTCGTGGCGGTCCACCCGCTCTTCTTCTGTTCTCGGCTCTAGTTGTGAGGCTGAGATCTACGCCACAGCCATGGCTGCACAGGAGTTACGCTGGCTCACCTACCTACTGACTGACTTGGGAGAGCGGCCTAGTTCTCCTCCAGTTCTGTACGGTGACAACAAGGCGGCTCTTGCCTTGTGTCAGGAGCACAGACTGGAGCACAGGATGAAGCACATTGCTCTTCGCTATTTTCTTGCTCGAGAGCTTCAGCAGCGCGGTCAGCTTCGGCTTGTGTACGTGGACTCGAAGGCCAACACTGCTGATATCTTCACCAAGGCGCTCCCGCCTAGTGATCATCAGCGGCACTGTACTTCTTTAGGCCTTGTGTCCACGTTTCCTCACTTGCTGACTGCTTGACATTCTTTGTACTGTACTTTATATTTGTCTTGCTGCTTGTCCTGTTCTATATCTAGCACTACATGTGAACTGGCCTTGTGGCCTTTGTTTGTGCTCGGAGTGTGGTGACGTTGTGATCCACCCTGGGCTTGTTTTTGCTTTGCTGGACTGGTCTTGTGACCCTTTGCTCTCCCCCACTTTGCCTATGGGGGTGTGTTAAGTTGTAATGTGTTATTTATATGTAGGTAGGCTGTAGTGGGGTAGCCAATACAGGGTACAAACCCAACTAGGGTTAGCTACTTGTACCCAACTGTTTCTTTCAATGCATCATTCTTGCCTAGTTCTTTTCACACTCTCCTCTCTCAAAGTGTTGCAGCTTACTCGATGCAAGGGTGTGACAGATGCTGGCATGGTGCAGGTGGGAAGGTTGACAGGGCTTGAGGATCTTTTGGTAATTGACACGGCAGTCACGGATGATGGGCTGTCGCACCTGACAGCTCTCTCCTCTCTCAAAAGTTTGCACCTCATGGGATGCGAGGGTGTGACAAATGCTGGCATGAAGGATGTGGGGAGGCTAACAAAGCTTGAGGAACTTTCATTGTATGGAACAGGAGTAACGGATGATGGGCTGCAGCAGCTGTCTTCCTTGACCTGTCTGAAACGTTTCATGTCTTTAGAAGGGGACATGCTTTTTGGTGGGGATTCGATTAGGATGAGGATATGCAGGAAGGGTGGCAGGTAGATACTAGGTGTTGTACGTGAGGTTGGTCTCGTTGGCCCTGGATTTTGTCCTGTATTTTGTCATTGTTACTGATGCAATGCTGTGGTGCATCAGATCAGATGGCTTTGCTGTGACGGTTGAGCTAATGAAGCTGAAGAGTTACTCGTAAGCCATGAGCATTCTTGATGAATACGGTAGTTTCCTATCCGTGTGTATCTACATCAATGTAACATATACCAGTAAATGTCCGCAATGCCCTTATACAGCTCCTTGTACTCCTGTCTTGTGCCACTATACTTTCTGAGCCGTAGAGTTTAATGTTTGTTGGGCACAAGCAGTCAAGTCAGCAGAAGAGAGAGTTGTGAATTGCACCTAGAGAGAGTTTGTGAGCAGTGAAGTGAAGGAGGAGCTGAAGGAGGAACTGCTGCAAGAGTCATGCCTGCCTTGCTTTGCAGTTGGCTCTTTCGCATCAGAAGTCCAGCTCCATGAGGGGATGCTCAGACCATGCGCGCATTGCTTTAGTTGCTGCTGCTGGCTGGTCTTTACACGAAGAAGACATACGAGTGTAAAGGAATACCGTAGCTGAGGTCATCATTATCCCTGGATCTGGAAGAATTGATTTGATTCATATGCAGGAGCTTGCATCTTGATATGATTTCAGTGTGCCCTGCAGGCTGCAGCGATCCAAAGAGCTCGTCCTCCTCGTTTATGGTCATTATGTGGCGCCACAGCTCGCCACAGCACATTGACATGCATCAAAATGGCTATACCATACTGGTAGTTTTGTTAGATACAATGTCTGCACAGGTAGGGTGAAGGGCGTGAGTGAAGAGCAGGAATGGATGGGATGAGTAGTATTCTGCATTCGAGGAATCAAGTATGGGATGCGGTGTGCTTGCGCAGTTGCGAAGAGCACAAAGACATGGCTGCTGATACGATTCGACACGTACGATTTTCCCACCCATGTTTCCCTTCTTTTTGGAGTGTCAATTATCCACATTCCAGCCATACCAATTCTGCCGTTTCCCCTGGCAGCCACACTTGCTCGACGCAATGCCTCATGGCAGAGACAACTGGAGAGATAGGAGAAGGGCAGGGAAGGGGACATGGAGGGTGAGTGTGATGACCCCTAAAAGGCGATCCGAGTAGTGGGGAGGAAGACGGGTGGTCGGGGATGTGGTAGTGGGGAGTGGGGTGGTGGGGGGTGGGAAGGAGGGAGTGGGAGGAAACGAGGGGTTGAGGATGGGGAGGGGCATGTGGTTGTGGAGGGTGGGGAGGAAGGGACGGGGAGAGATGGGATTGGGGGAAGGCTGGAGGATGGGGCATGGAGGGGGGCGTGGGTGATACGGTAGTAGGCGGTACTGATGCAGGTGATGGTGATAGAAGGGAGGTGTTGTGTGCAAGTGCAAAGGATGTGGAGCTGGTGGCTGGTTGGAATGGAGGGGGATCACGGTGATGGTGGCACGAGAACGAGTGCCCATGATAGGGAATAACACTTGGTTCGTTTATGAGGTGAACGTCAACAAGGGGCACAGCATGATGAGACGAATGGCATGGGACAATGGGATTGTATCATCAAACTGCTACCGAAGTATGGCATCGCGAAAGGACAGGTGTTGGAGGGTGGCTTGAGATGCTGGGTATGGGGAGGGGAATGTAGGGAAAAGGGGAGAAAGGGAGGGAGCGAGGGTGGGGACAAGGGAGTTTACACGGAGGGAGTGAAAGAAAGGATGGTGATCCGGAGGCGAGGAGGTGATGCATGAAGGAAACGCGGGATAACGTGTTCAGATGGGAGGGGAATGGGTATGGTGGCAAGGGTGGATGGGAGCGAGTGGGTGAAAAGATGTAGCGATTTTGCAGCGAAGCAATCTAATGATGGGGGTGGTGGACACAGCATGTGCTGGCGTGTGACACTGCAGTGCATTGCAGGACAACCAATGGAGAAATGCATACAACAACATTGCAGGATATGCGCGACAGGGAAGAAGTGAGGGAACGCAAGTGATCAAGCAAGCTCATGCTGATTAGTCGAACAACATCCTGCATGCTTAAGCACACCTTCAGACACGGCAAACGCTTGCACCTCTTCATTCTTTCCTTGACGATTACATTGTTGTGCATGTTGAGCGTGCAATGAGAAGCACACAGTGAACCCGACTGCCGCAGTCCACATGCATGGCCTCTGCTGCCTCACTCTGTACTCCCACGCCTCCCCCCCTCCTGCTGGCCTCCACCCACTTGTGGCTGACCTCCACCCACTTGTGGCTGACCTCGCTCACCCACGGGCAACTGGAAACTGACACTAGCCACTAGCATTGCGGCGATGATGAGAGACGCACGAAGAAGCAGTGCTCAGGTTCAGTTTTCCTCGTCAACAAATCGATTGCCGAAACACAACACTGGGCACGAGTAGGCGAAGGGACGATCTGAGATAAGGGTGAACAGTAGCAATGGATGGGAGAAGGGGGACAGGATGAAAAAACGATTCAGATGCCTTTCACCTGCTTTCACCTCCACATTGTGCACATCGCCCTGCCTGTCATCAACTGAAAAGCCATCCACTATCTCATATCCATGGCCCCTGCTGCTCAGAATGCCCTCCCTCTCCCTCCCTCCCATGGGTCTACCTCCCTCCTCCCCGCCTCCAACATACTCGTGGCTGGCCACCTTCACCGCCACCACTGCCGCTGCATCAAGACTCTGCTGGTGACCTGCTGCTGATAAATTGCAGCAGCATCAGTGGGTGACCTACTTCACTTCACCGCCACCAATACTGCTGCATCCTATGTCAGCAGTGGGGTGGAGGCAGGCAGTGTCTCTGCCATACCGCCTGCCTCCACCCCACCCCCTACTGACCGCCTTCACCGCCACCACTGATGCTGCTGCAGCTCGCCAGCCGCCCCCATGTCGCCAGGCATTGCGTCGCAGCCACGAACTGGGCTCCTTACGACCGATACAAGGCAGATGCTGTTGGTGTGCTGGGGAGTGCTGGGGGGAGTATGAACAGAGAAGGGTTATACTGCTGGGTGAAAAGAGAACATGGGAAGGCAATGCTCGCATTCATTCTGCTTTGTCAGAGATCGAGTGGCAGAAGCACCATACTAGGCCTGGAAGGGTGAAGCCGCAAAGGACAGAGGCGTCACACGGACTATGCATCTCTCGAGGTATAGTCACATGTCTCCGCCCCATCAATGTGGAACACCATGGAAGCTGTCAAGAAACACGAGTTCACTTGCCACGAGGCCCAAGTAAACTCACCATCACACGAGGCCATACTCGCACTGCCTCCACGCCAAGCAGATCTAAACACTTTTCAAGTGACTGTAAAGCACAAACCACACCCACTGTGAACAACACCACGTCGTACTGCTTACTCCATATCCTTGGATGCTCGTACTGCCCTGATGTCCAAGAACATCTCCTTAGGGCTGGATGCTCCTGACATCTATACCACCACGTCGCTGATGACACCCAGCCTGTCGAGCATCCTCACGGTGATGACCATCCGGTTCTCCACATTGCCCTCCTCTGTCCACCGCACATACCAGCGGACTTTTGAGTCGACTCAAAAGTCAGCACATTGCCCTCCTCTGTCCACCGCACATACCAGCGGACTTTTGAGTCGACTCAAAAGTCAGCACATTGCCCTCCTCTGTCCACCGCACATACCAGCGGACTTTTGAGTCGACTCAAAAGTCAGCACATGGCCCTCCTCTGTCCACCGCACATACCAGCGGACTTCTGAGTCGACTCAAAAGTCAGCACATTGCCCTCCTCTGTCCACCGCACATACCAGCGGACTTTTGAGTCGACTCAAAAGTCAGCACATTGCCCTCCTCTGTCCACCGCACATACCAGCGGACTTTTGAGTCGACTCAAAAGTCAGCACATTGCCCTCCTCTGTCCACCGCACATACCAGCGGACTTTTGAGTCGACTCAAAAGTCAGCACATTGCCCTCCTCTGTCCACCGCACATACCAGCGGACTTTTGAGTCGACTCAAAAGTCAGCACATGGCCCTCCTCTGTCCACCGCACATACCAGCGGACTTCTGAGTCGACTCAAAAGTCAGCACATTGCCCTCCTCTGTCCACCGCACATACCAGCGGACTTTTGAGTCGACTCAAAAGTCAGCACATTGCCCTCCTCTGTCCACCGCACATACCAGCGGACTTTTGAGTCGACTCAAAAGTCAGCACATTGCCCTCCTCTGTCCACCGCACATACCAGCGGACTTTTGAGTCGACTCAAAAGTCAGCACATGGCCCTCCTCTGTCCACCGCACATACCAGCGGACTTCTGAGTCGACTCAAAAGTCAGCACATTGCCCTCCTCTGTCCACCGCACATACCAGCGGACTTTTGAGTCGACTCAAAAGTCAGCACATTGCCCTCCTCTGTCCACCGCACATACCAGCGGACTTTTGAGTCGACTCAAAAGTCAGCACATTGCCCTCCTCTGTCCACCGCACATACCAGCGGACTTTTGAGTCGACTCAAAAGTCAGCACATTGCCCTCCTCTGTCCACCGCACATACCAGCGGACTTTTGAGTCGACTCAAAAGTCAGCACATGGCCCTCCTCTGTCCACCGCACATACCAGCGGACTTCTGAGTCGACTCAAAAGTCAGCACATTGCCCTCCTCTGTCCACCGCACATACCAGCGGACTTTTGAGTCGACTCAAAAGTCAGCACATTGCCCTCCTCTGTCCACCGCACATACCAGCGGACTTTTGAGTCGACTCAAAAGTCAGCACATTGCCCTCCTCTGTCCACCGCACATACCAGCGGACTTTTGAGTCGACTCAAAAGTCAGCACATTGCCCTCCTCTGTCCACCGCACATACCAGCGCCCAGCCCCAGCCGTCCCAGCCGCCCCCGCCGCCTCCTCTCCTCCACCCCTCAGACGCTGTTGGTGCTGTTGGTGTGGAAAGGGGAGGGAAGTGAGGGGGAGAGTATGAAGGAGGTAGAGGCATACTGATGAGCGAGGAGGTGGGAGTGGAAGATAGCTGATGTTGACATTGCACTTGGGGGAGAGCAGTGCCAACTCTAATTATTCCATCAAGGCAAACCAGAGCCACAAGCCCCATATTGGGGGGAGAGGGGGCGAGGGAGCAAAAGTTGGGAGAAATGGCAGCAACATTAATGGATCGAGGAAGAGAGAGAGGTTGATAAAAATGTTCAGATTTCTCTGCATACTAAGCATCACTCTCACCTGTGCGTCGGCACTTCGCCCTGCCTGCAATCAGATGAGAAGCCACCTGCACGCATGGCATGTGTGCTGCCATGTGCCTGCGGGTGTGCTGCCATGTGCCTGTGGCATTTTATATTTCACAACAGAATCAAGTATGGCGTACACAAGCTTGCATCCAAAGTCAGCCAGCAAAACTACCACTAATTCAGTCTCAGTTCAGGACAGGGCGCAAGCAAGTTCACAAAGTACCATCCTACCCTAGGCTGTTCACAAGCAAGGCCTTGTCCAGCCACCTACGTGCACACACTTCCACTCCTTGCCTATCAGTGAATGTACAGACTCTCCTCTTGAAGATACTTGTATACCCTGCACCCAAACGGCCAGGCATTTCTTCTGCAGCTACCCTCATGCAGCCATGCGAGACATCCCTCACCCCTGATCTCAACCCCTGCCCGTCACTGCTGCTGCTGCTGCCACTGCTGCTGCCACTGCTGCTGCCACTGCTGCTGCTGCCACCGCCACTGCTGCCACCACAGCTGCTGCCACTGCTGCTGCCACTGCTGCTGCCACTGCTGCTGCCAGTCCTGCTACCACTGCTGCTTCCCCAACCATGCTCGTCTCCCTCACTGCTCTCTTGCTCGCCCTTGTCCCCAGTTTCCCCACATCCCTTCCCCTTCCACGTCCGCCCTGCTGATGACGACCACTTCCGCCACCATCATAAAAAGCGTCAGGCAGGCAGTTTGTACGCAGCTTCCCATGCACACGATGGCTTGTTGCCCAACCAGCCCTGGACCAGCTTATGCCCAACTGGAAGGCACGACCATTCCATGCCTCACTCCCCCGCATGCATGCCTCACCTCCTCAGTCGTGCCTCAGTCTCAATCACGCCCTCCCTCACCTCACGTCCCTCTCCATCATCATCCCCTGCCACCCTTCCTGCCTATCCGCCTGCGCAGATCATCGTTATAAAGCCAACCCTTTTCCGGCGGATAGAGAGATCTTAGCTTGGTCAGAGCAGTCAGCTGCTGCAGGCCATTATCTGTGACTGCCGTGCTACCCAGACTAAGGCTCTCAAGCCCAGTCAGCCTCCCCACATGCACCAGACCTGCATCCGTCACACCCTCGCAGCAAGAAAGCCCCCGATTATTGAGAGAAGGGAGACCTGTCAAGTGCGGCAGACCAGCATCGGTCACCTTGGTGCCCAGGAGATCGAGGTGCTTGAGACTGGTCAAGGAACAAATGACTTCCAAGGTACTGTTTGAGACGTCTGTGCCGCCTAGGCTAAGCAGCTCCAGCTGTGGCAGCCTGTAGAGGTGCTTGATGCCCTCTGCACTGAAGCCTGCGCTATTGTACAAACCAATGCTCGTCAGGTGGGTCATGGTGGACACATGAGCGCGGATGTCGTCTGAGAAGCCGCGGACACCCACCAGATTGAGATGGGTTGCTCGAGATGCTTCCTTGATTCGCTGGAGGTGATGGATGAAGAGGGAATGAATGGCAAGGAAAGGAATGGCCATGCATGTAACAGCCCAAGATGGATGGAATAGATGCATGGCCCATGAAGCATTCAGTGCCCGACGCGACCATCTAGGCCCAGGATGCTACATGCAGCTCTGAGAACTTGGCTTCCTTTTCCAGGCAGCCCATGCTAAAGAAAACAATGCATGGCCTGCCAAACAATGTATACCCTGTGAAACGGATTCGATCTGCACTCACCTCCCATGAAACTGACTGACTGTGGCTGATTTGCAGCTCAAATTACAAGTTCGCATCTGTTATCAGCTGCCACTCCTCCTTACAGATTGCCAATTATGAGACGTGGCCAATAGATGCATTGTTACAATACCAAAACAACGCATGACCTAAAAGCAGTTAACTCAGCACTCACCTCCCATGCAGTCTTCTGAGGGCCTTTACTCTGGATGATTTCCAGCTCAACATTCACCCAGTTCTTGCAAACTGCCAATTCCTCCATGACACGTGGCCAATCCAACTCCCTCACCTCCCTCCTCCTCTCCTCCCTCTCCCTTGCTAACACTGTTCTCATTTCATCCACTCCCTTTTTGGCCTCCTCTCTCAGCACTCTCAATTCCAAATCCCTTCTTCTCTCAGCCAAATCCAGCAGTTCTGCAATAGCATCCTTGTGTTCAGTCAGCTTCATCTTCACTCCAGTCACCTCTCTCTCCCATTCCTCCACCTGCTCTCTCATCTCCCTCATCTCCACCACTCGTCTCCTCTCAGCCTCCTCCTGCTGCAATCTGGTTGACTGTTTGTGCCCAGCCAACTCCCCTTCCGCTGCTGCCAGCTCCCCCTTCACTGCATTCAGCTCTTCCTTCATTGCTGCCAACGCGCTCTTCTCTCCCACAACACCCAGTGCACGCCTCAACTCATTCACCTCATTCCACAAAATTTGATTTCTCCCCTCCAGCATCAACACTCGCTCATTCTGACGGGTCACCTCCTCCTTAACTGCCATCAACTCTCCCTTCACTAGTGCTAATTCCCCTCTCACCAATCCAAACAGCCCTTTCACTGCTTCAGCTATCTCATTTGCCTCTGTCATTTGCGTTGCTTGTGATCAGCCGGATATTCGCTTACCACTGGATGTTCAAAGTGGATGGCATGTCAAAATTGGGCGGAGGTGAACGCATGGATGTAAAGAGGGACTCATACATGATGAAAAGAAGGAACAGGGGCGCAATCCGACCCAAGTATACATGGGCAAGCGGCGAGTAAATGCTCACCTCCATCCTTTCAATTGAAGTGGTCGAGATCAAGGCCTCACCTCAGCCATCTCACTCACCCACCCAGTCCTCGCCCTTTTCAGATTACTCAACTGAGGCAAGGTGAGTACCGTATGTTGAATAAACGAACATTCTCTTTCTTCTCAACAGAGAAAGGCAAGGGTACGCTAAGTTGCGAGAAAGCGTTCCACGCGATCTGACCCCAAGCGCGATTTTCCAAAGAAGGCTGAATTCAAATAACTAGATCAGCTTGTTAGGGTGGTTGTCAAGTGGAGCAGGTGGGTCGGTTTGCAAGTGTGGGTGGGAGGGGGCCAGGGTGGGTGGATATTCAGGTAGTGCAGGTTGGATATTTGCAAGGGCTTTGGGAGCGAGGCAAGTGGTGCTGGAGGAGATTTTTTACACCTAAGGGAGAAGTTTGATAGACGAAATATGAGCTGGTACAGGCCAAGGGCAGAAACCGTTTCCGGATAAACAGCAAAAATAGACAAGGCTGCGTTAAACAGAGGGGCTTCAAACGAGGACATCGAAAGGATAGGGAAATGTGCTGCTGACACTAGAAGGTGGAAAATGATGATTGCGGGGAGTGACGGTTGTGAGCAGACATTAATGCTCTGAGGGGATGGGCCTTACCTCCGATGCCTGTTTCTTGGGTTTTGCAGAATGAAACGTCGTGCTGGTCGGAGAGACTATGCGGCGCAGAGGCTTAGACCGGAGCTCAGCAACGGGGGGCAGCCACAACGATCTGAGTCCACACGAGAAAAAAAGATGGCATGGAAAACTGAATGGGGAAGGTGACACAAATATGGTATGGATGATGAGGTCACGAGCGTACTCCTCGTGCTAACACACCTTGAGTTGAATGGTTTTGCAAGTTGTACTTCATTTCCAAGAGGGGTGATGCTGGGTAACCAGACTATTCGATCAAAGGTTCTCGAAAATGCTGAACACTCATCGGTGCGGTAACTGGTGCGCCACAAATGTCAACGCGGACACAGGTGTGTGATTATGGGACCACCCGTAGCAACGACAGGTCACAGGTCACTTGTTTTTCTTGTTAATGCCTACGTTCTGTTTGTCTCAGGCATATCAGTCAGTGAGTGCCAGATTGCCGTTCAGTTTGCACTCATAAGAGCATGGAAGCGTGACGCCTCCATGCATGAGTAAACGAATGTTTACTACGTGTTTCCTTTCAGCGCTAAAAGCTCAGTGGGAATGTGGAACGCAGACGGTCGGTCGGCAAGGTCCATCAACGCACTCAAGCGCATAGGCCAGAGGAGGAGTATGAGGGTAATGCCGGAATGCGAGGCGAAATGAATGGAATGACGAGACCGGTCTTACCTCAGGCTTGTTTCTAGGGTTTCGTAGATGGAAACGTCGTGAGGCAATGACGCCTAAGAGTTGACACTTAAATTCTAAGCTCCGCAATGAGCGTGGAATACTCCAAACGATCTGAAATTCCGCAGTAGTTGTGAACTTCACTCGATAAAAAAGAGATTTTTATGAATCAGAAGTGAGGGGGAGGCTCTCGCTGAGCGACTCACGGAGAGGCATAGAGACGAACCGATAGAGAACGAGATAGTGGAGTGATACTGCGGGATGACTGTTGCGACGCGGGTCGGAAGATCTAAGGCGTTTTCTATTAATAGTAACGCTGAGCCTAAGTGATTCGTAGCGATTTTGGTAGGACGGTGATTAGTATTGTAGGACTTGTGCTCGATATTGTGTCAGAAGAATGCGCCTCGAATGGTTTTGCAGGCTGTGCTCCGGTTCAAAGGTTTGATGCTGCACGAAGGTGTTAAACCCAGTTCAGTGAGGTAACGTGGGGCGAAAATGATTTTTTCGAAAGGCGAGTAATTTTGCAGCGATGTAACAGGTGATACGTGTTTCTCGTATCGCAAATCGGGCCAGGGATTTAACTTCTCGACAATGCCTGTTTGGCGAGAATATTCAGTGACTTGCGAATATCGGGCGAAACACTCGTGCTAGATTTCTGCATCGTGAGACATTGTCGCCCAAAACCTCCACACAATTATCCGCGCTTCTCGCTAAAATAGTCGCTACTATTAGCCTATTAGGTCATATTCGCCAGCAGCTAGATATGCGCCAGCAAGCACGGTTATTGCCGTCCATTCGGTAGCCGTCACTGTCGCCACGTGTCGTGAAAAATTGCACGTCATTACATCGACCACTTGATATCGACCGTCGCCATCACGCAGCACGCATTGCAGCTCGAATTGATCCGCGCCGCTGCTGAGTCACGTCGAGGGTCGCGAATACGTGATAGCATACGAAAACCTAATTAGAGGTAAGCCCCCGTTTCCCGTGTCGGACCTCCGCATTTTGAGCCATGCAAGGCTGCGCCACAGCTTACGAATCACGGTGCGCATTGTTGTGTCAGAGCCCGATGTGCAAATTTTAGTTGCATACGGAGTCGTCGCAAATTTTGCAGACCGCCCAGAGAGAGACTAGCAGAACAGAACCCCTTGACGCACTCTAATCGGGCCGAAGTTGGGCCTCTCCTCCCGAAGCCGGGGGCCCGAAGAACCTCGATGCCTTCGGCGTCGTACCCCCAGCACGCGAAGCAGGCCTAGGCTGGCACTGCGGCACGCGGCCAACCCCTTAGCGTGATTTCGGAGGGCCGACCCTTCGGCCCCTGCCAGGGACACGAGGCCTCAACCGCTCCTGGGAAGCACGCTGGCTTAGCAGTGGGGACCACACCCTCGTTCGGCTCGAAACACCAGTGATCGGCCGTGTGAGGTCCCCGTTACAGATAAAGATGAAAATAGTATTCTAAAATCATAACGGAAAGTGAGGCAGCATCTCATATAAATCGCCACCCACTCTCTCAAAATTCACAGGGTGTAAGCGCGAACGAAGTGTGTTCACGAAATTCTCTTTCCGCCCCGCTTGTCAACCACGGTGCCACGCCTTCTTCCCACGAAAATGCGATGGGCTTGCATTCCCTCGCGGGATTTTTTCCTTAGCCCCACTTTCCGGGTTGCTAACAAACCTCCACCCTTCCACCCCAACCAGAAAACGATGTTGATGCATTGCTGGGTGTTTGCCCGGGAATTCGCGGTAACGTTTTTTTCGCGCGGGTGTACATAGCCCGGATGTTCGCGGGGTTTGCCTGCTGACCTGGCTCTGATCTGGCCTGTGAGTTCGCGGACTTCTAACTTTTGGGGCACGAGCCACGGATGTCCCTGCACAGTGGCTGTCACTCGGTGGCGCGAAAATTTTAGCTTCAGCTAAACGAGGATAGGTTGTAAACAATATATTACTAAAAAGAACGTTCAAGTGCGGTGCAAAACGGTTTAACCTGGATTGTCCCAAAACGCACACGCGAAAGGAAATACACTTTGCGTCGCTGGTGATATCACCGGCTGAATTCGCGGATTTCAGGATTTTGCGGTGGGCATTCCTTCGGGTGTTCAGTCAAATTGGTATGTGCTTCAAGTTGGTGCAGAGCTTGTAGTCGGCGGGTGGGGCTGGCGTTGTCCGTTTTACGGGATTTCATATTTTGCTTTTGGCTCACTCATGTTGCCCCCAAATTCGTAAACACGTGGATATAGATTGACTTGGCTAGTCAAATCGCCTGTATGTTCGCGGATTTCAGCGGGGAATTCCGCGCGAAATACCTTTCATTAGGTGACGCGAAAACTTACGGGTCACTTTCCAATTAATTGTTCGCTCTTGTGGATTCAGTACGGTAAACCGCAATAATATTACGGTTTAAAACGGTCTAATAATATTTCTGTAGCGACCGCGGGAAACAAACGGAAAATGCACACGCGGGAAGTTATTTGCTTCGCTTGTGAATTTCACCTAGCAAGTTCGCGGATTTCAGGTTTTTGCTGCTCGATTTCTATTTTTGTAATTTGTTTTATCCTAGCAACTGCGGGTGTTTTCGCGCGCGATACTTTTGCATTCGGAACATGAAATGTACGAATTGTGCTGGGAACTTTGACAGAAACGCCACCGCGAGAATTTTCGAGGGGTGCGAAAACAATCGGGTTCCGCAAAACGGGCTGGAACTGCACAGTCACGTTCGCTTCCGTGCTGGCAGATGAATGTGCCACAGATGTCGGCGGTGCACCTGCAAATACAGTGTACAGTGGTCCGATTTTTTCACGGTATGATTAATCGCGGTCACGAACGCAGTGCCTTTTCGGGTTTTTTTTTTTGTTTTCGTGTCAGCGGCACACAGGTGATTCCCTGCGACGAGTATGTTGCATGGGTTGGAAAATGTTTAGAACGAAACCACGGTTTGTTTCTCCTTATTCTAGTTTTCTCTTTCGCTCGTGGTAGGTGGTGGCAAGTCGGGGAAGTGTTACTTAGACGGTTTCGCGGATTTTGTCATTCACGTAGACGATTTCACGCGGGTGAATTCGTTCTTTGTAGCGATAAATGTTATCAGGAATCTTCATGCGCGCGAGGAAATTCCCCACTCCCGTGCGTTTCCCATTTTTCCCAAGTTTCGTGAAAACCTTGTACCGCTGCTTATCGTGTTTGCACCGTATTTGACCGCGGGAAACAAACGGAATCGCACACCATTGTCGTATTTGCTTTACTAGAGAGTTCGCGGATTTCCTATATTTCTGCTGTAGTTTGTTTTATCAAAGAAACTGCTGATGTTTTCGCGCGCGAAACTTCACTGGGTGGCGCGAAAGTTGTGCTGCTTGGTGGCGCGAAAACTTCTGTGTGTGCTGTACCGCACGATCTGAGCCGCGGATGTCGGTGGTTTCCTGCATATGGCTAGTTTCGCAGTCATAAAAGAATCTCGATGGTGTTTAATTGGGCTAGTGTATTTCGTGTTTCGTGTCAGCACGCTAGTGCCTCCTTGCGAAAGTTTGTACAGCCAGTAAACAAAACATTTTCGTGCGGAGATGAAACCAGCCCCACGGCCTGGGCTTCCAGTTGTTTTCGTGGGGCACGCGGAATGACGTTTCAGGGCGCGAACGTATTTCACGAGAGCAATCCGCGTGATTGTCAACTGGTTTTCGTGGCACACGACGAAATGGTTACCTTCGTGATCGTCGACGGTCGTGTAGCGTTAGATTCTTACGTCGCATATGATTCGCGCAAAACGAGAGCCATGCGATTAACTTAGATTCGGGTTGCGAGATGTTTTCGCATCACTGAATCTGGACGTCGACCTCTGTAATTCTGACACTTGGAATCTTAACGACGTTTCCGAGCTCGACACGTGGTGCGCGGCGCGGAAACGAAGCTCCCCGCAGAATTCCCCGCAACACGTGGTCCAATAGGACGAATTGTAACCCGGATGAGACTAGGCTGTTGTCGGCCCGAAGGAACTTCGGAGCTCCCAAGGGCCAACTCCGGACCAGGAGGGACTTCGGAGCTGGTGGCCCGCGTGGCCGTCTGACGTCACTTTTCCCGCCCCCTCGCCTGGGTAATCATGCGCGGATGACGTCATTCCTTCACTGTTCGTATGTATTAGCCATTCTTTGCCCCACGTAGCATTGTTGCTCGGGCCCTTTCCCGTGCTGCGTGTCCTCGCCCTGGTTCATGGAGTCACGCTGTCACTCACCCAGGCAAATGACCGTCCAGGCCTGTGACCCACCTCAGGTTGCGACCAACCGCATTGCTAGCCTGGGCCCTTCCCGTGCTGCTATTTTTCTCTTAGGCTCATTCACCATGCTTGCAATGATCTAGGCTCTCTGACTGACCTGTGCATTTTTTTGTTTTCTGTAGATTGATTTTAAGGATTCCCAAACCAACTCTTACCGATCTAGGCTCTTATTTACTAGGCTCGGATTGACCTAGGCTCTCTAATTGACCTAGGCTCTCTAATTGACCTAGGCTCTCTAATTGACCTAGGCTCTCTAATTGACCTAGGCTGTGATTGACCTAGGCTGTGATTGGCCTAGGCTCTGGTTGACTTAGCCTCGGATTGACCGAGGCCCTCGTGGACCTAGGCTCTGGTTGACCTATGCTCGGATTGACCTAGGCTCGGAATAACCGAGGCTCTGGTTGGCTCGGTATGACGTAGGCTCCGGTTGTCATAGCTTGTAGCTGGCATAATAGGTACATGCACAGGTCGAGTCGAGTGAAATGTCTAGCCTGCCCACCTCGAGTCGAGCCTCGGATTTATGGGTCGCATCGGCCCTGACTCGAGTCAACGCTCAAGTTGAAGCTGACTCGATTTGGTATTGTGACTTTTCAGTCACATTGAAGGTGCTCGTGTGGGTCCATTTTGCTGTTAACAAGCGCATGTCAACCAGTGTAACGATCATGCGTATCTATAAGAGCGCATCTCCCCACCCTGACACGAGGTGACTCGTTCCCACTCGTACTGTCTCCCCGCCATCCTCTCTTCTCGTCCCTTCCCTCGCAACACTGTCAGACTCTGCACCACCGCTGCTGAGCCATTTCGCGAGCCGCGGAAGCACGGCGATTGAACAAACCCTAATCGAAGGTAAGCTTTCTGACTCGTCAGCCAATACATGAGCATCGTATTTTATTACCCCGCCAGTATCGCTCTTCCACATTGCAAGGCTCCCAGTGTAAGAACGAACGAACCATGGAGCCCATGAATGTTTCAGAGTCGATTGTGTAACTTTGTTTCATATCGAGCGGCCTTACGGTTTCAGCACAACGCCAAGTCACGCCGATGTCCCGCAACAAAGTATTGGTCCGCCTGGGCCCTTCCTGTGCTGTGTTTTTTTCTCCCTGCCTCATTCACCATGCCTCCGCTGACCTTGGCTCTCACTGATCAAGGTTTGGCTGACCTAGCATGCGACTGACCTGGCATGCGACTGACCTAGCATGCGACTGACCTAGCCTGCGACTGACCTAGCATGCGACTGACCTAGCCTGAGGAGGTTCTCTGATTGTCTTCTTTCTCTCACCCTGTGATTGCTTTTTACCTTCTCTTGCCACCATTGTATCTGGGTCCTTCTGGCTGCTCTGCCCGTTCAGCCCAAATCAGCTGACTGATGCAACACCACCCGCGCACCAGCCCCCTCTGTATCAATTTCCGCACCAGGTCATTTGTCTCTTGTCCGTCTTCTCTTCTCTGATTACTCTCGCATTTCGTTTGTTGTTGTGCCTCTTTTTCACTCTTTTAGAAGGTCTCTGCTTTCTCCTCCTACTATGTTTGGCCTGCATGCATGCCTCGCCACCCTACATTGACAACATATGCAATTCCCAACTCACCACCCTTCACCGACTGCATTTGTTTCTGCCTTGCTGCAATATCTGCAGTGTCCTTCTTCAGTAGTCATGTTTTCATTTTTGTCATCAAGTCTCCCTCGTTCTCTGCTTTCCTTCCCCCATCACTGCCTCATCCCTCATGCACGTGTAATTGCCCTCGTTCGTGTGTGCACTGACCACGCCCCTTCTCCCTCTTTTCTTTTTACGTTTCCCTTTTCTCTCACGACGCGCAATCCTGCCCTACCAGGGCTGCACGTGTCTGCTTTCGCCAATTTGCAATAAAAAAGTCAGTTGAACGGAGAGAACAGCCAGTAATAGAAGAAGGGTCGTTTGAGGGGAGTGAGTGTGTGAGATGGCTGAAGAGGGAGTGACGAGTGCAGTGAGTGAGTCGAGGATGAAAGGGGCGGTGCTGGCAGCAGCGATAGAGGAGATGAATGAGCTGCAGCGCACGTTGGCAGCAGTGCAGGGGGAGCTGGAAGCAGTTAAGAGCGAGTTGGAAGCGGTGAAATACGAGTTGGCAGTGGTTAAGGGGGAGTTGGCAGAGAAGCTCGCTGAGGGTAGTAAGGCATCGGATGCAGAAGGGGTGAGAAGGGAGAGTAGGAAGAGAAAGCAAGAAATCACAGCGGAGTTTGCACGGGAGGAGGAGAGAAGGAGGGAGGTGCAGGGGTTGAATGAGCTTCTTGGCATGGAGGAATCGGCGGCCTGTGAGGAAGGGCAGATGTTGCAAGATTTGAAGCTGGATGTTGAGCTGCAAATCAGGAAGAGTGAAGGCGATCGGAAGAAGGCATGGAATGTGAGTGTTGAGTGAACTGTTACACAGTGCATGCTTGGTTGGATTGGACAGGGCATGCATGGTTGACAGGGCATGCATGGTTGACAGGGCATGCATGGAATCTAATGCGGTTGTCCTTGACCTCCAGCGAATCAAGGCAGCATCGCAACGGGGGCCCATTTTAAGTCTGTTGGGACTCTACAGCCTCTCCGACGACATCCTCGCCCATGTGTCCACCATGACCCAGCTGACGAGCATCAACTTGGACTCTAGCTCAGGCTTTAGTGCAGAGGGCATCAAGCACCTCTACAGGCTGCCACAGCTGGAGAAGCTTAACCTGGATCATACAGACGTGTCAGGCAATGCCTTGCAAGGCATTGGGTCCTTGACCAGCCTCAAGGAGCTCCATCTCTATCAGGCCGAGGTGACTGAAGCTGGCCTGCTGCACTTGACAGCACTGACCTCTCTCGCAACGCTGCGGCTTTCTTGGTGCGAGGGCGTGACGGATGCTTGCATGGTGCATGTGGGGAGGCTGACAGGGCTTGAGGTACTTGAGATGAATGGGACGGCAGTTACAGGTGCTGGCCTTCTGCACCTGGCAGGTCTCGCCTCTCTCAAAGAGCTGAAGCTTCACTTTTGCGAGGGTGTAACAAGCGCTGGAATGCTGGGTGTGGGGAGGCTGGCATCGCTGAAGGTACTTGTTCTGGTTAAAACGGCGGTCACCGATGACGGTTTGCTGCACTTGACAGGCCTCTCCTCTCTCAGCAAGCTGGACCTTTCTGACTGCAATGGTGTGACAGATGCTGGCATGGTGCATGTGGGTAGGATAAATGGGCTTGAGCTCCTTGGTCTGCGTGGAACGGCAGTCATGGATGATGGGCTGCAACAGCTGACTGCCCTGACCAAGCTGACAGCTCTTGATACGCCAGAAGGGAAACTAGTTCTGGACGATGCTGTAGACAGGCACATAGGCAGGTAGGGTGGCAAGGAGAGATGATGTAGAGGGAGATGAGGTGATGGAAGAGTAATTGTGACTGTCTAAGGGGGACTAAGGAGAGGCGTGGAGGCAAGGGGTGTGGAGAATGGGGGAATCAACTCAGTGTAACTCACTGAGAGAGAGTAGGACATACATGCGGAGGAGACATGCAATGGTAGTTGTATCTTGCATAGAGTTGGGAGAATGTGCATGTTGACAGTGGAACTTGATGCAGGTGCAGGCGCAGGGCTGTCTGAGCAAGGGGGCAAGAGCATGATGAAAGGATGCATGAGCCATGCCATGCCATACTGTACAGATGTTCTTCCCACAAGAGGAGAGAGAAGGGTTGCGAGAACAGAGAGTCAGTCAGGACATAGTTTGTATTGATAAAGTTCTAAGGCGCTGCTTTTATTAACATCAACAGATTGTTTGTCTGAACAGCTCACACAGCGTATGTTTCATCAACAAAGCCGTTACATGATTTGAGACCTCCATGTTCAGATACGATTTTTCCCAACCAAAACTTCTTCCACTGCATTATACACCCTCTTTTGCGCTAGTAGAGCATCTGGTTGCAGAACATACAACGAAGACAATACGGTTAGGTGTGGTTATGCACGGTACAAAAAGCTTTCGCAGCGTATTTGTTTGGTTGAGTGGGGTATACAGCGATAACGGAAATTTTACGCCCTTGAGCCAGTTTGTCATGTGGTTCAGCATTTTCCCCCAGGTTGCTAGGAACGTTTTATGGCACCTGACAGCAAGAGACAAGTACTGTAGCAGCGAGTCGCGCATGGTGGAAAGGTTGAGAAAGAGGGTGTAATCTAAAACCAATCATCATTGATCCAAAGTGCTCTGCTCGTTCAGCTCACTTTATGTGACTGACACTACTCCACCTGTGTGCCAGCCTTCTGTGTACCAGCCAGCCCTCTGTGTGCCTCTCCAATGTAAACCGCCCCATGCAGTCCCTGCAGCTTCCCATTCCGCACCCACTGCATTCATGCGCTTTCGTCTTTTTCTGTTCGCCTGTTGTCATCTCACGCGATTCTTCCCTCACATAATCTCATCAAGTCTCCCCCCTCTGCTCCTGACCTCCTGTCTTACATCACATCACTGCCTCATCCATCACGCCCATGCAGTTGGTCTAGTTTGTGTGTGCACTCACCGTGCTCCTTCTCCCTCTTTTCTACTTACGCTTTTGTTTTCTCTCACGACACCCAACCCTGCCCTACCTGGTCTTCGTGTGTCTTCTTTCGCCAGTCTGCAGTGAAAATAACAGTTGAACGCAGGGGGATCAACAATCAAATAGTGCCGTTTGAGAGCAGTGAGTGGATGCTATGGCTGCTGAGGGAGTGACGAGTGCAGTGAATGAGTCAATGAATGTGGCGGTGCTGGCAGCAGTGAGAGAGGAGCTGGCTGCACACAAGGAGGAGGTGGATGAGCTTCAGCACATGCTGACAGCGGTGAAGGGGGAGTTGGCTGCGGTGAAGGTGGAGTTTACAGCGATTAAGGGGGAGTTGGTAGTGGTTAAAGGGGAGTTGGCAGTGGTGAAGGGGGAGTTGGCGAAACACGAGCACGCTATGGCAGAGAAAGTGGCTGAGAGTAGTAGGGCATTGGATGGAACAGGCCTGAAAGGGAAGAGTAGAAAGAGAAAGCAAGGAATCACAGGGGATTTTGCGCAGGAGGAGGAAAGGAGGAGGGAGGTGCAGGAGTTGAATCGGCCGCATGCCATGGAGGACCTGGCGGCCTCTAAGGAAGGGCCGAAGAAACGAAACCTGAAACTGAATGTTGCGCTGCAAATCAAGCAGAGTAGAGGCGATCAGAAGATGGCATGGAAGGTGAGTTGAGTGAACTGTAGCACAGTGCATGCATTGCTTGCTATTTGGCCATCCATTTCCTTGCCGTTTTTTTCCGCTTCGACTTTTTTCTCTCCACGGCCTTTCAGATGGTCATTCCTTTGCTTGTCATCCATTCCCTCTTCGTCTACTATCTCCAGCAAATCAAGGCAGCATCACGGCGAGCGGAACTGAGTCTGAAGTGTCACGACGGCGTCTCGGATGCCATGCTCGGGCATGTGTCCACCATGACGCGTCTCAAGGGCATTGACTTGGAATCTAGCTCGGGCTTCAGTGCAGAGGGCATCAAGCACCTCTACAGGCTGCCACAGCTGGAGACGCTAAACCTCATGAGTACTCATGTCCCTGACAGTGCCTTCGAAGGCATTGGGTCCTTGACCAGTCTGAAGGGGCTCTATCTCTTTGAGACCAATGTGACTGATGCTGGTCTGCTGCACTTGACAGGCCTCTCCTCTCTCAAAGTGCTGTGGCTTTCTGGGTGCAAGGGTGTGACAAATGATGGCATGGTGCATGTAGGGAGGCTGATAGGGCTTACGCATCTTTGGTTAAATGGCACGGCAGTCACGGATGATGGGCTGCAGCAGCTGACTGCCCTGACCAAGCTGACAGATCTCCATACATCAAAAGGGTTCGTCTGAGTACGATAATTTGCGCGGGCAGATAAGCAGGTAGGGTGGCAGAGAATGATGATGGAGAGGGAGGCGAGGTGAGGTGAGGGAGGGTGTGAGTGTGTCTTGGTAGGGAAGTTTGAGGAGGGGTGTGGAGACAAGTGGTGTGAAGAATAAGTGGAGGCATGCATGCGGTGCGGAGGCAAGAGAGCACGGTTTGCATGTGGGAAGGCTGCATGAGCCATTCTCGCCTGGGCGTGGCTACAGCTAGCAGGCTGTACAGATGGTCTTCACAGAGGAAAGTGCAGGGCATGTGTATTAAGGAATTGAGCTTCTGTGCTATCGTATCGCGCACCTAAGTAGGGTCTAGTGTATGAGGGCACTGGTGGATGGGTAATGGGGAAATACGTAAAATAAAGTAGTACAGACCATACCGTCATCGCCCGGATATAAGACATATATGTCTTATCTCGTACACGGGCAAAAATGCTTGAGTTATCTTGTAAACGGGATGGTTTAGGGTGTCTTATAAGTCTTATAAATGGAAACTTTTTAAACTACTTAGAAATATTTTCCGTACTTCTTGAAAAAGAGTTCCTCATAATGAGTGTGGATGTTGCGAAGGTGCCACTTCGGCATGTTAGAATCTAGCAGCAGGAATGAGTGAACTAACAGGATGCAGGAGTACAAGTAGTAAACCCTAACTGGGTTGTACCCCATATGGGCTACCCCACTACAGCCTAGACAATATACACCACATATAGTTTGACACACCCCCATAGGCAAAGTGGGGGAGAACAAGGGGTCACATGACCAGTCAAGAGAAGCAAAACAAGCTCAGGGTGGATCACAACGTCACCACGCATTCTGAGCACAAGCAAAGGGCCACAGGGCCAGTTCACATGCAGAGATATATATGCAGCAATAACAGTACAGTTATAGCTACCTAGCAAGAGCCAGCATGCATATATATATATGTACAGATCACAGTACAAGCAGAGACTACAGCAAGTGTGGAAACGTAGGCACAAGGCCTAACAGAGTACAAAAGCGCTGATGATCACCAGACGGAAGTGCCTTGGTGAATATGTCAGCAGTGTTGGCCCGAGTGGCCACGTGGCGAAGACGAAGCTGGCCTCGCTGCTGCAACTCTCGAGCCAGGAAGTACCGCAGAGCAATGTGCTTCGTTCTGTGCTCCAGTCTGTGCTCCTAACACAAGGCAATGGCGGCCTTGTTGTCAACGTACAGCACTGGAGGAGAACGAGGCTGCTCTCCCAAGTCAGTCAGCAGGTAGGTGAGCCAGCGTAACTCCTGTGCAGCCATGGCGGTGGCGTAGATCTCAGCCTCACAACTGGAGCCGAGAACTGAAGACGAGCGTGTAGAACGCCACGAAACTGAACCAGAGCCAAGGCTGAAGGTGTAACCCTGTGACGACCGCTGAGTAGCCAGGTCGTCAACCCAAGAAGCGTCTGAGTGCCCAGTGAGGACAACTGGGCTCGTCCCTCCAAGCACTAGCCCCATGCCTGATGTGCTGCACAAGTAACGCAGTACCCTCTTAGCAGCAGCCATGTGCTCAGGTCGGTGCCGACCAGGAGCCACGTAGCGAGCCAGGAGACCAAGAGGGTACGCGAGGTCAGGTCGAGTGCAAGTCATCAGGTACATGAGGCAGCCGACTAGCTCTGGGTAAGGACCACTCGGCTCTACGGACTCGTCCGAAGGTGGAGCTGAGAGCGTGTGACCTGTAGCCAGAGGAGTGGCCTGTGCTGAAGACCAGGTGAAGCTGAAGCGCTGAAGGACCTGCTGCACCATGTGTGACTGAGTCAAGGTGATGGTGCGACGTGCTCTGTCTCGGGTGATCTGCAAGCCAAGGTAGCTGCGCAGCTCACCCAAGTCTGTGCACGTGTGTCTCTTCTGCAGCTCCGACTTCACGTGGGCGAGAGCCTCAGTGTCAGCAGTGGCAAAAACCAAGTCGTCGACGTACACAAGGATGTAGAACGGCGGCAGGGAAGTGTCGGTGCGCAGAAACAGCGACGGGTCAGCAGTAGAAGGCGCAAACCCAAGAGCCGCAAGCGTAGTCCTCAGTGTGTCGTGCCACTCATGTGGCGCCTGGCGGAGACCGTAGACCGGCCGCCGGAGGCTCCACTGGGTACCAGGAGGGAACGACCCAGTGAAGCCCGGGGGGCGGCGCAGCCAGATCTCCTCGTGCAGGCTGCCCTGCAGGAAAGCTGTGCTGAAGTCAAGAGAGTGAAGCTTGTAGTCACGGTGAGCAGCAACGTGCAGCAGCACCCGAAGAGTGGTCATCTTCGGGGTGGGGGAGAAGGTCTGGAAGAAGTCAACTCCCTCTCGCTGACTGAAGCCTCGAGCCACGTAACGCGCCTTGAAGACAGGCGGAGAACCCGGCGGCCGCTTCACCCTGAAAATCCACATGCCACTGACGATGTTCGCCCCAGGTGGGGGAACCTCGTCAACGTAGGTGCCTGTGGACTTCCAGGAAGCCATCTCTGCGTCCATGGCTGCCTGCCATTGAGAGGAGTAGGGACCCTCTATCGCCTCTGCGTAAGAGCGCGGAGTCGGGATGTCTGGTGCATCCGGGTCTCCCTCAGGGGCAAGTAGCGAGGACACAAGATGAGGTAAAGCAGCAGCAAGACACTGGAACTCCTCCTGCCTGTCCTCAAGGACGTCCGTGCTAAGAGCACACTCACCCCCTGTCAGAATGCTATTATTGTCTAGCCTGCAGTGGGGTACTCTATAGCGAGTACAGCCCAATCTAGGGTTTGCTATTTGTACTCAACTGCCTGCTAGTTCAACCTCTCTCCTTTCAATCATTCTTGCCTAGTCCTGTTAACATGGTATCAGAGCAGGTCGACCCTCCTGGGTCGATCCTGTGGGTGGGCCCACCACCTAAGCCTTCCGCTGCTACTGCTACTGCTACTGCTACTGCTACTCCTGTCCGCCGCGCGCCCCGTGGCGCGCGGCGTCGAAACTAGGGTTTTCAGCCCGCCGTGCGCCCCGAGGCACGCGGCGGTTTTCTGCCCGCCGTGCGCCCCGAGGCGCGCGGCGGTTCTCTGCCCGCCGTGTGCCCCGAGGCGCGCGGCGGGTTCCTGCCCCGTCACTCGGCACGTCGCCCCCGGGAGGCGCTGCGACGGGCGACGGGGACCCGCGCGTCGCCCCCCGTCGCCCGTCGTGGCCTGCGCGCGGCCCGTACACCCGGCACGCGGCCCGTACGGGCTGCGCCAGGCCTGCGCGCGGCCCGTACGGGCTGCGCCAGGCCCGCGCGCGGCCCGTACGGGCTGCGCCAGGCCCGCGCGCGGCCCGTACGGGCTGCGCCAGGCACGCGCGCGGCCCGTACGGGAAGCGCCAGGCCCGCGCGCGGCTCGGGCCGCCTGCGCGCGGTTCGGGCGGCTCTACCAGGCCCGTGGGCGGCCCGTTCCTCGCTGCTCCTGCCCTCTCCACTGTCCCCCGTGCTTCTACCGGCGCCTCACCCCTCCTACAGCCCGTTCTCCTAAATTAGGGTTTGGGGGTGAAGAGTGTGGGGGTGGCGGCTATGGGGGTGTCGGTTGTGAGTTCCTCCCCCTGCTCCTCCTCCTCCCTCGTCTCCCTCTGCTACAGCTGCCGCTGAGGGGGGTGGTGTGTGGGAGCCTAGGGTTTGGGGTTTAAGGGGGGTACCGTCGGAGTGGAGCTAGGGTGTCAGCAGGGGGTGTGTGAGAGGGGCGTGGGACGGTCGGGGGAGATTGCGTGGAGGTAGCCGTCGTGACGCCAGCAGCGCCAGTAGTCCGGATGCCCTCGCGCGTTTCGGTAGCCCAGCGAGCCTGCTTCGCCAGTCGCCTGTGGGTCCGTTGCTCCTGTGTGTGCTCGTCGTAGCCGCGGAGCCAGATACTCCCGTAGTCCGGTGCCCTCGTGCGCTCGGTAGCCACTGTGCGCGCCGCTCCTGTTGCCCGTGTGTCTGCAGCTTCAGTCGGCGCCTTTCATCTTCTCTCCTCTCGCCAGCCCTCCTCCTCCTCGCTTGCCCTCTGTGACTGCCTCTAGCTTTGCTCATAACTGTGAACTTTAAACTATTGCTTCTTGAACTTGTGCTCAGAATGTGTGGTGACATTGTGATCCACCCTGAGCTTGTACTGCTTTGCTTGCTCTGCTGATTACACCCCACTTTGGCTATGGGGGTGTGTCAGAATGCTATTATTGTCTAGCCTGCAGTGGGGTACTCTATAGCGAGTACAGCCCAATCTAGGGTTTGCTATTTGTACTCAACTGCCTGCTAGTTCAACCTCTCTCCTTTCAATCATTCTTGCCTAGTCCTGTTAACACCCCCGACGGACGGAGGACAGACAGACTCAGACTCAGTAACAAGACTGGCAGTGAAGTCTAGACGACAGGCAGCAGCAAAGTCAACAAGCTCAGCGACAAGAGCAGACGCAGCAGCAGACTCAAACGACGGGTCAGTGACAACTGTGGCTAGTAGACGCGTGACAGTAGGGTGCTGAGCACGAAACCGGTCAGACGCAGGGTCCGGAACGTCAGGCAAAGAGGACGCAGGAGGAGACGACAGAGGAACAGGCTGCGGAACAGAGGAAGGACGACGGACTACGAGGTGTGCGCTGGGGACAGCCGGCGGACGCGAACGAGGAACACGACGACCGGTACGACCAGGACGAGCAGGCGAGACAGGACGCGACGCAGGCTCACGACGCTCAGCAGGACTACCAGTCAGCTCAGTGTAAGGAGAAGGAGCAGGCAGCGGCGAGCCAGACTGTAACGGAAGACCAGTAGACGACGGAAGAGTAAGAACCTGACGAAGAACAGAGGCAGACGGCGGCAGAGACGACGGAGACGGCGGAGCGAAGAACAGTCGTGTCGGCGCAGCTGCACCAGTACCAGCAGCTCCAGCAGCTCCAGTGCCTCCAGCAGCTCCAGTACCTCCAGCAGCTCCCGTACCTCCAGCAGCTCCAGAAGCTCCAGGCCCAGAGCCGACACCTCGAGTCCCAGGGTCTCCAACCTCTGTGTCTCCAGCAGCAGCACCCCCAGAACCAGCA